GGAGATAAAAATGGTTCTAACCATAACTCCCATGGAGACTTTTGGTGAGAAACATCCAATTACAGAGCTTAAAATAGTTTTATGTGCGTAACTAACGGGGAGCATAAGCTTAAAATGATGCTTTGTAGAAACCTGAAAAAACATTTAGTAAAAAGTGCAATATTTTGAAATCTTTGACAAATACACTTATTCGCTTTCATGCTGAGAGTTAGATGAGAAGATCGATTCAGGTATGTAGCTCAGTGTAACTACCGGAAACGGGAGGCAGCTGTAGGCATGTCACTTTAAGGTTGCGAGGCAACCACCGGAGGTTCCACGAAGTGCTGTTAGTCAAATTGTCAGTGTTTCCTTGGGCTTCCTGTCCGTAGTCTTTGCCAAGCTAATTCACAGCTTGCTGTAGCTCCATTTTCCGCATACAGACATAAGATTGTTATCTATCTCTAAGTAAGAAAGCAACTAAGCGTATTTCCGACAAAGTTAAAATATTCTTATATTTTGTCTTCTAGATTTTCTACAACTTTGATTTGCCAGAGAGACAAAAAAAATCATGATTTGTCAGACAGAAAGCTGAAACAATTCACACTGATGATCATACAATTAATGTGTATTGATAAATGATCTAGATGACAATGGCGACACCATCAAGAGTGGATTTTAGAGGGGGAGAATAGAACTAGTGCCTCCTCAAATTTTATTGGGCTGCAGCAACAACAATAAAAAAAAAAAGACTTCCAGTGTATTTTGGTGCCTTTTACGTAAGCCAGCCTGGATCTGAAGGCAGTGACTAGTACTCTAACTACTTCTGCATTGAGATCAATGGTGCACATCTGCTCTGCGCCTACTGATGATGTCACAAAAGTTTGTGTAATCCTTGCCTCACATCCTCCGAAGCCCTCGCCTCCCTCTTTCCTTTCATCCCTCCCTTTCTCCTCCTCTCTGTTGATCCCTGGCTCGCTCTTTGTCTCTCAATTTCCTTGTGTTTTTGTACCTAATCTCTTACCCAGACTCCTCTTGCCTGTTCTCTCTCTCTTTCTCTCTCGCTCTCTCTTTCTTTTTCTCCCTCTCTCAGCAGTCTGTCCTTCAGTGTCTCTCCTTCTTCCTCTAAAACCCCCTTTTGCCTGGTTTTGGCTCGGCCTGCTGCCCCCCTCCCCAATTCCTCATTCCTCTCCTCTTCCTGCTGTCCGTTGCGCTCCCTCGCTCCGTCTGGCTGTCCTCAATAATCAAACACAGGCGGTCAGACACAGACAGGATGTGAGGTCAGACGAGGAGAGGAAGTGAGGGTGCGTGGGCAGCACATAAACAGAACAGAGAGGAGGTGAGGGACAGTGAGGACAGTGGAGTGTGTGTGTGTGTGTGTGTGTGTATATAGAGTTAACACTGGAGATTCAGTTTCTGTTTCAGCCGTCGGCATCAGCTCTTTGTGGTTGTTCTCTATATTAAACACTTAAGCAGCTGGACTCAACAACCACAACGAGTCATAACACTCAGTGGTGAGGTAAAGCAGTAGTGTTTTTCAAACTTTATTACTGGTCTCCTGAAATATTAAATAAATCTCCTACGTCTGTCACAAGCTGAGTTTGTGGGTTAGTCAGCGTTTTTTCAGAGTGCTGAAAAATTGATCCGTGTCATTCAGTGTAGAATTGTTTGGGCTTAAAGTAGCTAAGTAATGCAGCCATGTCATTTGGGGTTATTCAAGTTAATATTTTTACTTTTGGTCAGGATTTAGCCCTTGAGAAGAACAGTAGTGAACTATAGGTTACAATATGAAATGAAATGGGTTATTTTAATAGGACTGGATGATAAAAACCAAAGTTATTGAATATCTGACATAGGGAATTTCACCATGGGTTAAATATACTCTCATCACAGTTTCCAATAAATAAATGAAAAAAGTATAATTAAATATTATTTGATTATTTAGATCTGTTATTTACTGATCGGGACAGCTGAAATGATGCTGTAATGGAATTCCACTTTTCCTTGTTTATGCGTGTTAGCTGCAACAGACAAGTAGCTACAGGACTGCAGTATTAAACAGGTCATATTCTTCTTTTTCACTCAGCTGTGATAAATGGATGGAATAAGCTAGGTCAGCCTGTTAGTCGACAGAGCTGTTCGTGTCTGGGGCTGTGTGTCAGAGTGTGCCTTTTTATTCCATAAAAGAGATAAGTTCAGTTTTGTCCAAGTGGATGAAAGGTGACAAGTGTGGGTATGAAAAAAAGTGCACTAATGAGCCAATGTGTCTTAACATTGATGCAGAGTGGGTACTTCACCGGTTGAACTCTACACACACACACACACACACACAGTAGCTTAACTCCCCTCCTCCTAGCACCCATCACCAATCTCCTGTAACTTGATACTGGGACTTTGGCAACGCGCACACACACACACACACACACACACACACTCGCTGCCTCTCTCTTGTGCTTGCTTTTTTTATTCTGTCCAACACAGACACACACACACACACACACACACACACACACACACACACACACACACACACACACACACACACACACACACACACACACACACACACATAAACATACACGCACAGAGGTCAAGTTGAGGTTGTGCTTCCATGACATCACTGTTGCCATGACTCATAAGTGTACCCCCAGGCACATTAAGGCCCTCTCCTCCGCAGAATCTGTCAGAGGGACTTAACCGGTCACACACACACACACACACACACACACACACACACACACACACACACACACACACACACACACACACACACTCTCACATCTCCTATCTATCACTTGTTGTAAGTATACAATGCTTTTTACACAAGTATGCTGTGTAGGTGTGTATAGTTTGATGTATTTGATGCAAGTCCTCCTCAGCCCTGTAACACACTCATCAAACAGACATGGTTTCATGCACATTTTGTATTGCTGACCCTCACAAACACACACACACACACACACACACACACACACACACACACACACATCCTGTGTGATTTACAGTGGTCAGACACAGATGGAGAAAGCAGGCCTCCTCTGGTCGGAAAAACCTCAACTGAGGGGATCACACAGGGGGGAAAGACTTCCATTACCTACACATGTGTACACACACACACTCACTTGCACTCGCCCTCCTAACGACCCCGGGTGTCCGATAAATTACCTTTAGACACATCGTATCACTGGACCAGACCCTGTGTATGCATGTGTTTGTGTGCATATGTTTATGCTACGTGCTACGTGCTCGTGTGTGTGTGTGTGTGTGTGTGTGTGTGTGTGTGTGTGTGTGTGTGTGTCCTTACAATGGAATAATCCACCCAATATCATGCTCAGAAAGGCTGCCTTGCACCCAATAACACAGGCAGCTGGTAGAGTAGAAAGAACAGCAGCGTTTTTATGGCTTATAAGTGGACTTTATGAACTTTAGGGCTGCAATTTAGGATTATTTATGTTATCAAACTGATTAGTAATACAGTCTGTGACATGTTGGAAGGAAAATGCCTCTCTCAATCTTATTGCTTGCTGGGATGGGGTTAGATTGCTTGTTTTGCCCAACCAAAATCCAGAGATATTCATTTTACAATGATACAGAACTGAGAGACTGCAAACCTTACATGTTTTGGTTTGTCTGATAAACAGCTTAAATTGGTAATTAATTGAATTCAACTAATCAATGGTTTCAGCAGGAATTACCTTATACGTATAATTCACTGTATATTAATAATCCACACCATTTTTGTAGAAATAAATGTCATTTTTCTACTCTGCCAAAAAAATCTACATTGTGATTACACTTGTTCTTAGCATATTAAAGAGATTTTCTGGAAGCATCATTCTTTTCACACAATAAGCTATGTGGAGCCTCTTTCTGGGGACCATGCAGAATGAGCAGCTACAGTATATCTGGTCTAGTATACTCTATGGCATCTGTGTCAACAATCAAATGAAGTCAAAATAAATTAAAGTGAAAAAAAACGACTTAAAGCGTGTCTGAGAGAAATATCTTTTTCCTGTTTTTCTTTGCAAGCTTGTAGAGTTATAAAATCAGCAGCAGCCTTATGAAAACACCATCATTATATACATATGGCATTGTATTCGGTAACAGGCTGTAAGGCTGTGCGAGGCTTCAACAACACTGCTGTAGTCAAATCATTCTGTGGATGAATATTCACAGGTGTAGGGACAGTCGATTGAAAATGATTCATAATCATAAGTAGGATAATGATTTCTGTGAACTAATGCCTCCAATATGATAATCAACAGTTTCTATGTTCAGAACAGAATACTCGCAGGGGAATATGAGTCATATATAGTCTTTTTTTGGTGATCCCCGTTTTATTTACTCTAGGTCAGGAATTCGTGACTAATGCCTTTCTGTGGAACACTGGGTAATTTAGTGTTTTTTCCAAGGGATGTGTTCATCATGACTTGATGAGATGAAATAGGTGGTTGCTGAAGAAAACAAGTGTTGCATCACACACCATTAGACAACTCTTTATTTTAGTTTTTACTCTTATTTCTCGGGCTATTTCCGTTGCTATTTGGATGGAATATTTTCACAGACAATGTCAGGGATGATTATGGAGTCACAATGCATTTTATCTCACTTTTCAACCCATACAATTTCTCAATCTAGATGCAAACCTTGGCTGACCTTGGAGTCATATATTTCTAGATATCACAATAACATGTGGGAATTGAACACCAATCTTCTTGTCAATCAACAGCCTGGTTCAGGAGCACTGCCAGAACGTGCATCTGTTTTGAAACTTGGGATTGTGGAATGCTCCTCCTTTTTTTACATTTAAATAAAGTCATGAGTCAGAATGACATTTAAAATTGTATGATTTGTGCACAGAGATTGCAATTATGACCGGATGTGTAGCACAAATACGCCCTTGATCCCTCTCACACGTGCAGTACCAGTCTCTCTATTGCTGAATATTACATTTGAAAAAAAGCCTCTTGTAGTGGATTTTTTGATAATTACTCTTTTTTTTTTCTCTCTGTCTGTCTCCTCAGATCATGATTCAGAGGGGAAGCGTATTCAAGACATGCTGTCTACAATCGACAAACCACAGGTTGGTATGCATACCTCCTCCCACAGCTGCACGCACACACAGACACACAAACCCGGCTCGCTTATAACCGCTTTCATCAATCATCTGTTGTCGGATGCAGTCATAGCTGGCATAAGCGCTGATGTCTTTTCCATATTTTCATCAGTCATCTATCTATCTATTATGATTAACATAAAAAATAGATGCTTACACTGACAATAATAACTGTAGTGTCTTGTGTATGCAGTGTATCTTTTTTGAAGTCATTTTCAGGGCTTTAATAGCAGACACAGGGGAAGTAAGTGATCATTTAAGCTCTGCTCACCCTGGCCACATGAGGGCAGCATCTACTCATCCATGCCATTCATTTTCCCACTATGCCTTTACCATGTGAAAAACACTGTAAACACCAAACAGCTTTCTCTGCTTCCCAAAGGGGAATGTGAATTAATGAGTTGGAGCCACGGAGACACAGTTTGGGAGAGAGGAATTGCTCACTTCTGGTTAAAGTAGTTTGGTCAGCAGGCAGTACGATTGGATCATTTGATATCTGTGAGTTTATGACATGGGTTCAAATAGACTAGAGAATGGAGTGATGAAAGAAAGAGAAAATGGAGTGTAAAAAGAGGGAATGGAAGACATGAAATTCAGGAGATTTAAAGCTGATGCACGGCAGTGATTTATTTCCTCTTATAACTTCAAATCACTTCTTCACTGATATACAGCAAGTTTATTATGGCAGAAAAAGGAAAGGGAAGGACAACAAGGACAATTCTGGGATCTCCTTTTGTCATTGATTGCTTTTTTGCCATTAACTGCAGATGTGATTTCCTGCTACTTTTGACCTTTACCGTAATGCATTTCTTTAAGAGGCAGTAGTTTGGTTTTTAATATATATAGGGACAGACAGTTTTACAGTCCTTTTGCGACAGTAAGTGTGCCACTTGATGGATTCAGCTGTGTTCCATACAGACACAGTAGCAGGTGTTACAGAGGCAGAGCTTATATGAAAAGTTCTTGATTTAAAAAGGTTCACAATATTGCCTTGTTCCTCTGCTTGTATTGTTTGCTTTCATAGAAATAAACCATATTTTCTTCAGCTGAATTGAAAAGAGTAATTCTCCCCCATCTTTTTTCCCTTTCTTTTCACTTCAAAGGCCTCGGAGCTTATAATAGTACAGGCTACATTTACATGCATGTGACAATTTGATTATGGCCAAAATTCTCAGTAGGGTATTACACCAATTAAAATGTTTATGCAGGTTGCTTATAAGACATTAGTATTCATATTCCCTTTCTACGGCGCATAGACTGATTAATCGCTGCCCCCAAATTATGTTAAAAACTGGTCCCCACCTATCAGCCATCTACTGCAGAGTGTAAATCTAACTAACAGCTGCGGTGGGCATTGGGCTTAAGGAAGAGTGTATAAAATAACAAGTAAATTGTGGTACACACTCACCCATCTGTAATGAGAATGACACATCCGTCACCAGAGATGCTTTTCTCATTCAGCTTTTGAGTTAGCCTAACGTTTATTATGTGCTGTTTACCTATAAATGTTTAAAATCCCCAAACCAATCATATTGTGCTATGAAATAGATGGTAAATCCATGTCAATTTGATTCATGGATATTGGTTAAAAGACATAACAAAGCAATTTAACAAGGAACAACGTGACAGTCCTTTTTTTTATTTTACAACATTCTGCAAATAAAACTGTGTGTTAACCACATAATACAGGATGCACAAAGATTTATTTTTAAAAAAAAGTTCTTTGCATCTTTGCTGTGCATTGTCAACTTGATTGTTGCGGTCATGTCACAAGATGTGACGAAGACTCTAATAGTGAGTCATAGTTGGACTTTTAATCTTCTATTATGAGAATATAAGTTGAATTTTTTGTATCAAGTGACTCTCATTGTGATTACTAAAGCTGTGCATGTACATGAATGCAGCCATTGTATGGATACATAAGCATAAGAGAGATGGAGTGAAAGGTCAGTTCAGACAGAAATTTAATTTCTTGCAAACAGTGAATAGTGAAGACGAGGACTGATGATGGATGTACAGTAGATTCTCACCACCTCACATTCAGTGGCCCTCTCGTAGCAGAGTCTGGCAGGGAAATCATTTCTGGATCACAAACAGGCTCTCTCTCAGGGTTAAAGGGCAACAGGACCACAGACCTATAAATGGACCTTCTGAATAGACCCCTTCATTCTTTATCTCATGCTTTTTCTATTCATTCTTTGTTCATTTTCATTTCTTTGTACCCTTTCTCTTTTTGTTTTCTGTTTGTTCTCCGTTACCGTTTTACACATCAAGCTGTTGCATTCATCATCAGGTCATTCATTACATGGAAGCCTTGGTTTCCATGTAATGAATGTATCCACAGTGTACATATGAACAAAGTGTTTGAGAGAATGAGTGTGAAGAGTGTTCTTAGTTGAGGATAAATTACCATCAAAGCCGTTCTCAGGCATGTGGACAGAGTGATGTGAGCTCATAAAATCAAACCATTGTGAACTAAACTCATATTGAAAAGGCATTCAACTCCGTCTTTCCATTTTTTCCTGTTTGTCTGTCTGTTTGTCTTCCTCATACACTGTCTAGGCATGGTTGTGGTTTGCAGTGCCCTAAAGGTACATTCATCGCCTATTCAGTGGATGTGGAGTCTGGAATAGCGGCAGACTGTGCTAAATCACGCTAAATTGGCTCACCCACCATGTGCCGGAACTAAATCTCCCATAAACAAGCACGCACTTGCAGTCACACAGACGGGCACAAAGTTAAACACACATGTAGGCTTCTTTCTCATGTTTGTTAATTTTAATTCTTTGCTGCGTTCCCAGCATGGATGTGCCTGAGCTGGAAAGAGCAGCTGAATCCGGAGTAATCGTTTCAGTGACACATTGTCAAACACGCTGACAAAAACGTAGATTCACATTCAAATTATAGTAAAACACCTTTATAGAACATGAGGGTATATTTACTGCTGTCTAGAACTGAATAGAATAGAAAGGATATCTTACAAATGAAAATATATTAAATGAATTGTCCTGTCTGCTTACCAAAGGCCACATTACATACATGTAATAATGTTGTGCATGTGTAACTGGGCTTGGCTTCATTGTGTATATAACATACTGTATATATGTTAATGCATATTTTTCAGGTGTCCAATGTGCAGGCGCGGGCTGCACGACTGTCCTGGGCCCCCCCGGCAGGGCTGGTGAACAGGCATGGTAACGGGATGCCTGTGTCCTGCTCCTTCGAGGTCTCTCTCTCAGATAAGGGACGAGACGGAAAGTATCGCCTTATTTACAGGTAGGAAACACACTCCAAGCTAAAAAGAATGTAGTATCCAATATACAAGTATGCCAGTGTGAATTTCGTGCTTTGTTTCTGTGCGTTTTGCAGTGGCGAAGAACTGGAGTACCATCTGAAAGACCTAAGGCCAGCGACAGACTACCACGTACGGTAAGGATTTCGACATTTTGTTGCATTCCTACGATATGTTCTGCGTGTGAGTTTTCCCTATGTAAAGATTCTGCCGTCATATAGCCACAATTTTGAACGTTCGTTGTTTCGTGTGTTTGCTTAAGGGTGTCTGCGATGTACAACTCAGTGCGAGGCTCGTGTTCAGAGGCCGGCTCTTTCACCACACACTGCAGCATCCCCGACGTCCCGTTATCCCCGAAACTCTCCCACCGCACCAAGAGCACCCTCACCCTACAGTGGAAGGTATGGGCACAGACATCTTCATGTTTGGACTTTCGTTTTCATCTCACAGCTCATACAGAAATGATACCGTGACATAACATTATGATGTTACCGTTAGTTTTAAGGGTACATTTGAAATTAGCTTATTATAAAGAATTATAATGCTACCATGCTATAGGAGACTATGGGTTCTTTGTGTCAAATTTCATGTTTCTGTGTCTACTACACTGGATGTGTAGAGCGATACACTTGGCAATAACCTGTGTTTTTTGATGAAAGTGCACAATATGTTTTGCCTTGTTTATCTCCCATCTTGACTTTTTCAGCCCTAAAGCACCTCATAGCGAGACATTCTTGCATTGTTACACAATGCCTTCAAGGCGCATCCCTCCGCCGTCTCTGACCTTTTCTGCACAAGTAATTTTTATCCACTCTCACTGCCACTGATAAAGAGTGACATCATTCACTCAGACAGGATATGAGGCCAAACATAAAAACACGGCAGGTGTTTTGTCAGTCTCTGTGTCAGAGTCTTTTATATTCAGCTAATCTCTGTCTCTTTCTTGTCTCTTGTCTGCTTCACTTGGCCAATTTCCCTGTCGGTCTACAGCCCCCAGGCGACAACGGATCCAAAATCACAAACTACCTGCTCGAGTGGGATGAGGTAAGTCTGTCTGTCACTCTTGATGTCCATTATCTGTCATGCTTAACCCTTATTTAAAAAAGAGCACTTACAGGCGTCACTAAATGGATGTTAACATTCTTCTCTTCTTCAGACGAGATGTAATAGAACTGTAAATTATGCCTTTCCAATCCATTTTGGCCCCTGCTTTCCGTCTCCTTTATCGTACTTTTTCACTTACTGTCATGCATTTTTTTTTTTTCATCTTTTCATTCTTCTCTTTAATCCTCAATTGAAATTAATTGTATCCTCCTGGTCTCGTCTTGACTTTTCTGTCTGTGCATCCATCTCTCTCCTCTGCAGGGAAAGAAGAACAGTGTTTTCAGAGAATGTTACTTTGGGAGCCAGAGACACTGTAAGCTGACACGACTGTACCCCGCCTGTGGCTACACGTTCAGAGTGGCTGCACACAACGACATTGGCAGAAGGTACTGTTGCCTATTACTGAATGCACAAGCACGTTTGCTTCACACACAAACACCCAAAAATTGATTCATGCACACATCATGATAAATAGCACAGAAGGCATATGCCATAACTCTTTCTTGTTCCTTGTTCATATGCTATAGGAGCACAGATTTATTCAAATACATGGCAGCTTTTCACATGGAGGACCTGACATTTGGACCTTAATATGATGCAACGTCTTTGACCATACACCACACTTATACTTATGGGAGCAAATTGTATCAGTGTCAGCCACAACATATATTATGGAATAAATGCGTAAACCTCCATGATGGACAGACGCACACAGACATCTACCAGCAGTCCATCTGTGGCTATTATTCTGCATGTGACATGAGTCATCTTCCTCTTTCTCATTTTCCCTCCATTTCCCCTCTCCTCTTGTCTCCTTTTTGTCATTATGGCGGGGAGCATCTCGCCTGCAGTCGTTTGGGTGACAGGGAGAAGGGAGGGGGTGATAGAGGGCACTGAGCGCGAGGGAGGAGATATTAGCTCTCTGGCTGAACTCAAAGCGGCCTTAATGCATCCCTTGCCTTGATCCCCCTTTGAAACCATATGGACACACAGACACGCACAAATATACTCGGCACACACAAGCTTTTGCTTACTTGCTATTTTTCTTACTTGAAAAAAGTTTTACAACCTCTCACATTTCTGCTGCTGGTCATACATTCAAATTCATGTTCAACCCCCTAACCCCACACCCCCCGTTGTCTTTTTTGACTGGCTTCTGACATGCTGTTTTACCTCAGTCGCTGCTCTTCTGCTTCTTCTCCACTGGAAACTGCAACCCCTGCACTCCCTTCAAACGAGCACTGATGTCAGTGTCCTTTCTTATTCATGTTTTCCTCTCCTTTCACTTTTCAAAAATGCGCCTCCGTCTCTGCTGAATTTGTAATTCATGATGCACAGCTTCCCTTTCCTCTTGCACTGCGGTCCCTTTTCCCTCAAAAGTAATGATCCAACAAGTCAATAATTTGCTCCTGCGTTTAAATAACATCAAAAATGTGAATGAAATGTAAATGTGTTTTGTGCAGTGGCTTCAGCACAGAGGTGGTGTTTTACACCATGGGCACCCTGCCTGCTCTGCCTCTGGCACCACGGCTGGTCAGGGCGGGGGTGTCCTGGGTGACTCTGGAGTGGGGGCGTCCTGAGGGCAGTCCGAGTGAGGAGCAGCTCAAATACACACTTGAGATCCAGGAGGACAACAGCGTGAGTATCACACAAACATATTATATGAAAACATTTCTGTTTATGTTACTGGCACTGGTTCTTTTCCAATACATTAAAAACAGCCCTCATAGATTTGAACGATGGCAGGAGCTACACAATCCCCCATAGTAAACATAAAAACTTAATTTGTTTTTGTGAAACTTTTTCTTTTTTTTGTGATTTGATTGAGCTCTGTGCTGTTAGTTAATCTAATCCCACAGGAAGATAAAGAGGGGGATAAAAAATCTCTAAAAGTACATTATGAGAAAATATTTAAGATTACATGCATAATGCATTGCACAATAGTTAGGGGAAATGCACAGCAGATGCACAGAGCAGTGAATCCTATAATACACAAGCGTACACATAGAAACACACACCATATTCAGCACATGAACATAAAAAGGGAATTGCTCCCACACACTGCTTCACTCCCACACACACACACACACACACACACACACACGCATATAATTCAAAAGTCAGTATTTATTGCATCCACATGCTCAAGAATGTAAACAAATGCTAATAGATGGCAAAAAAGAAACAGACACAGACTACTGACAGTGTATCACCCACAGGGAACAGACTTTCATCCAAAGTACACTGGAGAAAACTTGACCTGTACTGTACAAGGCCTGAAGAGGAGTACACAGTATAAATTCAGGGTAAGTGACGATGTGATGTGAATGCTGGTGTGTGTGTGTTTTTCTGCAGTCTTGCCTCTGTGTGTGTATGCAGATTATCAGAAGGATATTTATGCAGAAAATGTTATATATATATATATATACTTATGTTGTTAGACCTTTGTTTCACAAAAGCTCATAAAAGGAATAGTCTGACATTTTGGGGGAAATGCAAAAGGACTTCACTTTCGTAGCTGAGTTAGCCTATCATTGTTTAAATGCTGGAACTAGGAGGACACGACTGTAGTCTTGGTGTCATTTGTTTGTGGGATTCCGGTCATTGTGCTATGCTAAGCTAACCATCTACTTGCTGTAGCTTCATATTTACCACACAGACATGAGTCAGCCTTCTCAGCTTGCTCTCAAGAAAGCGTTTGTTTCTTTGGTGTGTGCATATGTGTCAGAATGATAGAAATGGACAATAATTAGCATTATTAGCATTAGCTGTGTTGCAGCAAGAGATGAGTAGGTTGTGCCACGTTGGATGGTACAATAAAAACAGCAAAATTACATTTGAAGAATTATATAAAACGCATATATACGCAATATGGTGTTTAAATCAAGATTAAAGCAAACCACAGAAAAGCTTAGCTGTGTATACTGTCTGACCTAGACTTGTTGAGTAAAGTTTCAATTTCCAGTCAGTGATGTTCTCCTTCTGTTAAATGTAAATAATGTTGCCAAGGATACCAACCTATCTAAATGTTTTTATACAGCATCCTTTAATCTAGGAAGGAGTACAGTATTTTACCACCAGATTATTGACTGCAATTTAACCAGTAGTGAAACAAGACAATTCACCAGCCATATAGCAGGTAGAGAACGCTGTCCGCCTCTACTAAAAGCTGTAACAGCTATTCATAATGTGAGGACATTGCGAAACAAAATGTGCCGGCGGTAGATCTCTGTAAGTGTGTTTGCTTTTGTGTTAATGCAGGAACTTGTGTCTGGTCATCAACAGTGTATTATGGTGCAATCATTTCGAACACCTTTCATGTACTTTCACACACATGCAAATGAGGCGGTAGATGTTTAAAGACACAAACACACACATGCTCACACACAAAGAGACACCTCTGTGTTCTTTGTGATGTTCATCCGGTCTGAACATTCTGAGAACAAGGCAAACTGATGGTCCATTGGATGGGGTAATGGAGGGAGTAAACTGAAGAGAAATGAAGGAGGAAGAACCAGGAGAGCCGTGGATGAAGGAGCAGAGAGTAATGGCTCCTATTAATCAGGACAGTTCCTTTACTTCTTGATAGATTTCTCTTGATGTTCTCTTCTCTCATCCAACCACAACCAATCACAGTGCTTCTTATTTCTCTAACACTCCATCTTTGCTCATTTTATTTCTTCTTTTATCCTATTCCTTCCTTCCATACCATCCACTGCATCTTGTCTTTCTGTCCACTTCTTTCTCACCTTTTCTTTTGGCTCCTCTCTGCCTGTTCCAATTTGTTTGCCTTACACTCTCCTTTCTTTAACCCTCCATTATGTCCATTTTCCTCCCGACAGCTCATAGCATCGAACATGGAGGGAAAGAGCAGTCCCAGTGAAGTGTTGGTGTGCACCACCAATCCAGACAAACCCGGCCCTCCATCTACACCCTGTGTCACTGCAGCGACGCCCTACGGATTTACCGTCACATGGGGTAAAGACTAGTTGGACTAGTTTTACATAGATAGATAGATAGATAGATAGATAGATAGATAGAAGATAGACTTTATTAATCCCCGGAGGGAAATTGGGTCGTCATAGCAGCCAGGTACATTAAAATACAATGAAATACAATATAATAAAATACAACAATAGAATAAAATACTTAGATAGAAAAGATAAAAAAAGATAAATTATCATTTAATAATCATTTCTAGTAATGTGTTCTCCCTCTGAGGTGTTATCATGAAACTGAGGTGGCAGCCATAAAAGCCATCAGGACTGCTATCATCCATCTGTCCTGCATTAGTACTGCAGGAGTCGGAGCAGCCTGTCCTTTCTCACATGTTGTAAACACAGATCTCACTGTACGTCTCAGGTCTTTTCAGATCATTGATTTTTTTTTAGAGTGATAAACAATTACCTTTATTATGTTGTAAGTAGTGTGATTTCTGCGCTAGCTGCTACAGCTTGACCATTTCAAAGTGATGTAGCTTCACTGCATTAATGTCTTCAGGCTGGAAGACATTATACAATACTGAGGATGCTAATTGTCATGAAAAGTCTCAACTGATGACTGATGTGTATTTTTTAATTTCACACCTTTTCCTGAAACCTTAAAGGCCATGTTGAAAATTTAACATGTTTTTGTTGTGTAGCTCATAGTGTTTACGCGAGATATAAAACTAAAATGAATCAATTTATTCCTGCAACAGATCCTCCCCAGGACAATGGGGGCTCAGAGGCTCTTACGTACCTGCTAGAGATCTCAGAGGGGTGCTCTGAAGGTACGTTTTACATCTGTCAGTCCGTTCATCCATCTATCCATGCCACACATTCAGCTAATATGCGAGTTTGTTCTGAAGTCTATGATTTTATAAAACAAAGCTCAAAATGTACCATCAGTCCCTTGTGCCCCTTCTCTCTATGTGTCCATTTTCCTCACTTACTGTCTTTATGAAGGATAGCGGCCATAATTGACTCCCTCTTAGCATCAATTTAGCTCACAGCGTTGTTTAGATTTCAGATCTTTACTCCAGGAAACCAAATGTTCCCTTGTTTCATATCTTCAGTTTGCATTCATTTAATCACAGAGAGAGTGTTACTGGAGACTAGTGTTGAATGTCAAAGAACCGAAGAATATCATAAGCTGATGTTTTTCTTTCATTGATAATGAGAGGATTTTTGTCATGGGTACTACTAAATAATTCAGATCAAGTCCAGTCAGTGTAGTCAATGTAGTTGGCCAAGCACCTAGAATAGGTTAATGCAGAGGACACATTTTACTAAACCTTTTACTGTGTAAGATTGTATATGTGACAATAAAGTTGACTTATTTTAATTTGTTTGTGACTCACTAAGTTGCACCAGTGCTGAACTCATGGTCATGACTCAGATCATTGTGTTTGCTGTAATTCCTTCTATATTACTGCTGTGAAACACTGTCTTTTTGAGGTGCAGCACATGGAAGTTTTCTTGAACTCCACTTCATGTTGTAGTCTGAAGCATTACATATTCACAATATATGTCCCTTCTGCTGCAAAACTGCTTTCCATGCGGTGGTGTAAACAGTACATTTGCATAACACTAGTGCTGCTTTGCAGGCAGAATAATACATTTCATATGCCTACACTGTCCATCAACAGAACAAAAACTGTTACATAAAGTAGCGAGTAGGTATTAATTAGGTCATTGTGTTATTTAGAATATCAATAGGTCGACTGCAGCATACATATGAAAGAGGAGATGATTCTGTGAATGCTCATGTATGTGAACAGTTGTGTAATTGTGTTTATTTGTGTGTGTCTGCAGCGAGCCAGTGGGATGTAGCGTACAGTGGTCCAGCAACAGAATGTGTGTGTGAGCACCTGACACCTGGGACCTTCTACCGCCTACGTGTGTGTAGCATCACCACCGGAGGACACAGCCCTGTAAGACACACACACACACACACGTACACAAAAACAACTTCAGAGTGGTAACTTTCAATTTTCATAAACAGTTCTTGAGTTAGGTGTAAGGCAACAGTGATGCGCCAGTGTTGCTCATATAGTAAAATGTGGGAAAATCTACAATCTGCTCACCCATTATCAACAAAATACCTAAGTGTAATTTATATTTCTGCCAGTAATTCATCAAACTGATATGTAACTGTAGTTCCGTCTCTTATGTTTTGTTTTCCTGTGTTTATCACTGAAGTGCACTGTCGGTGTTCCGGTCCGTACATTAAGTGTCCCGCCAGGGCCCTGCCAGCCGCCGAGGATTGTGGGTAAAGCCAAACACAAGGAAGTGCAGTTAGAATGGGGTGAGTGCAGACATACACGCACACTGTGTTTAGTTTTATTTACCAGAATGTATTTGAATTTTTTTATGTAAGGAAGGCTAAATCACCCTTTGGCTGCTTAATATGTTTCCCTGGCCAACTCTAATGTAACCTCAGTCAACCATGTTTCAGCCTAATTGAGCCCTAATTTAGCCCATTAAAGGCCTAACCTAGCCTCATATCTGACTTGACTCTTCTAATGTCGGCCCATTATTGCAAATTAGCACTGTTATCTGTTGGCAGGCAAAAGTCTCCCAGCCTGAAACACTGAGGAAGTTCTTGTTTTAACCAGTTTAATACAGCTGGCCACAGTCCTAATCAGCTCACATTCAGGCAGTGCTGCTGCAATTACTGGCTCGAGTTGAAGGTCAGACATAATGTATTGGAGGGTTTTCCCCACTTTCTCCGTCATTTATTACTTTATCCATACTGCAGCCGGTGAAGTGAAGTGAAGCAGCTGTTGGAGGAAAGAATCCCTTGGAAGTGACTCAGAAATTTACCTGTTTAATTGATCTGTAAACACACATAGTCATAAAAAAACTTAACATCATATTGAGTAACTCTCTGTAAAAGTCTGTGTATTAAAAGGCATCTTACCATATAGGTTGTCTTTTTCCATCACACATGATTTTGATGCATAATTCTCTTTCTTTTCTCTCTGTCTTTCTCTTTCTCTGTGGCCCCATAGACGCTCCTGTATCTGAGGGAGTATGTGAGGAGTGTGTGTTTAGCCTGGAGATGAGTGAGGGGGACACCAAGCCAGCAGAGGTTTACCATGGGTCAGAGCTGCAATGCACCGTTGGTAGTCTGCTACCTGGTGCCACATACAGCTTCCGACTGCGGGCTGCCAATGAGGCTGGGGTGAGACATTCACATGCACACACAGCAGGAATATGATCAGAAATTTGCCATTCAAGACCACAACAATGTACTTCACTAATGAAACATTTTCAAGTTAGAACCAGGCTTTTCAACATGTATAAAAGGAATTAAAATTTTGTGCTTGACCAGCATTAAATTCTGTGTTTAATGGCTCTTGTGGCCATGCAATCTACTCTGCACGCTAAGTACATTTACTGTGGAACCTCTTGATATGATCCAAATATAAAAAAAACCCCTTAATTCAAATTGAAATGTTTTTTATTGTAGCCACACACACAGACAAACATAGACAAAGGGCCATTATCTATTAGGTCAGAGTGTCCCAGACAGACTAACAGCATCCGTGGGTAAACGCAGCAGTGTTCCACAGTCTGAAGCCAACATCTGATTGGTTTGATCATCCACACACTCAAGAGTGAACAATCACTCAGACTTACTGATCAGACACAGCCACAAACACAGTGCACACGCTAGAATATAGGGAGAACAGAGAGGGGACCAAAAAGAAAACAGCACTGCTGCTTGTACAAAAACTCATGTGCACACACATGCACAGGTAACCTGGTGCGATTTGTGCTGCCTCCTCTGCTTAACACATGTCTCATCGCAAGTCTGGTGTCTCTTTCTTTTTAGTTCGGAGCGTACTCTGAGCCAACAGAGGTGACGACTGCGGCAGGTCCTCCTGGCCAGTGCGGGGCGCCACTCATCAATCTCACCAACAACACTTGCGTAACGCTCAACTGGGAGGTGAGACAAACAATACACTATGTGATAATTGAAAGAAAGAACCACTTTTATCTGCAAAGACTGGCCACATTTCTTAAAGCTGTCTAAAGAAGCCCAATATTTCTTTTTCTGGTTCTACTGACCTATAAACCTGCCACTGTAAATTTGGCTGTCTGGGCGGTTATGAACAAGAAAACCCAGGAGACTGTTGTTCATAGCAATCCAATTCCCCTGGATGATGTATCCAAATTGAAGAAAAAGTCTCTGGTGTTGTATCTTGAATTCAATAAAACCTGTCCCTAGTAGTCTATCCATTTGGCCTGCTTTGTTGTGGCACTGTATTTCTCAATATTTTTTTTAATTAAAACTTTCCATTCCGTGAGTCAAGTTGGGTTTTTGTGTGTTGCAGAGTCCTGAGGGTTCGGGTACAGACATCTCTGAGTATCGTTTGGAGTGGGCGAGGGAAGACGAACCCATGGAGCTGATCTACTGTGGATCTGCCACACAGTGTGAACTGTCAGACCTGACACCTGCCACAGATTACTGCTGCAGGCTACAGGTAACACATAAGACATACACTCACACCTACTTATGGAATAGGTGAAATACATGTACAATTAACACATCCATGCACAGGCACACAGAAATGTTTGCTTACAAGAAATCGCATAAAGCACATGAACTATACTAGACACACACAAACATACACAGAGAAACAGTTGCAAGCATGCCAGAGACTCATTCAAGACACAGACAAATACACTACACTTGCATACAAATATCAGCCAAGGGAGCTTCAAAATCAAGAAACACGCACTGATAAACAGAGACCAGCGAAAGGTTGATGATGATCGTTTCTATTTGCGTTCTTACTCTTAATCTTGTGCATAAATAAGTGCGCGCACACACACACACACACACACACACACACACACACACACACACACACACACACACACACACAAATCATCTCTCTTTCTTCTTCTCTCCTAATGTACCCTCTGAAGCTATGAATCCAATAACAGCATGTTTTATGGCTCACTTCTTTATGGGCTCGTTTATAGTTTAGAGGACAGCACGAGGTCATCCGAGCGTCCTAATCAATGCTTTTGTGTGTGTCTATGTGATTTGTCTTTGTGGGTTTGTGTGCAGTAGTAGTGAGCATGTGTGTGTTCATATGTGTAATAATAGGACAGATGTGCCTCTTAAGAAGAACACTCTACTTGAACTCTCTGTGACGTCTTATGTCCTGTACCTGTATGATCCAGTGCAGGTTCACCTACTGTAGCTCGTAACTTTAAATAGCCAGACTCACACAAAGATAAGGTAAATTAAGAGGTCCTCAGATTCCTTTATGTTTTGCAATCCTCGCCAAAACATCTTTGACAATTGATGATAAATTAGAAATACTACTGAAATATAAATTTTCTTGTCGGACCCTCAACGTATGTAGATAGTTTACTGCCAAGATAAAGTAGTAAGTCAAGACTTTGCACAAGTGCACGCTGCAGAATGCAAAACACGCCTTCTAATCCTTGATGTGCATTCACGTTGATGAGGCTGGGCTTTTCTTGGAAAGTGGTTACAGTACATTTTTTCATGAAAAAATAAGCACTCCTCACATTCTTAGAAGTGCTGTATAATTTTGAAAATTACAATAAATCCATCACTCCACGCAGACAGCTTGTTTTGTCTTGCTTGTTAAATTAAAAGTGCACGTTTTGCTGTCAGATTTAAAGAAATCCAATTATTTTGAAAAGTTTCAGCCTTTAAAATCTAGCAGATGTATTCTTAAATATCTGCTATATGCTGTCCCCGTTTCAGGATAGAGGATACTTGAGTTGAATATAAATGTGTGACACACACCACAAGAAATGGACCAATGTTCTTTCGCAGCTAATTTGAATTCCTCTCCCTCTGCTGATTTTCTTGTCTTCTTTCATTCTTCATGTCTTTTTCTCCCCTCTATTTTACTTTCTCTTGCTCTTTGTCCTTGTTAGTCTTTCTCCTGCCAGTTAATTTAACCTTTTTCTCCTTCCCTTTTTTCATTATCTGTTGTGTTGTCTCTCCATTCATCCTCTTCCTTTTTTCCCCTCTCTTCACCTCTTCTCTGTCCTCACATTCCTGCATCTCTTCTCCATCTCTCTCACCCTCTCTGTGCTCTTGTGTCCAACTCAGGCGGTGAATCAGGCAGGTGCTGGTCCTTACAGCGAGCAGGTGAGTTTCCGGACCCCGGCGACAAATCCTGACCCGGTCTCCTCCCTCACCCTCCTGGATCTCCCGACCTCCTCGGAGTCAGGTCACTCCCCGTCTACCTGCCTCCTCCTGAAGTGGGACGAGCCGAACAGCAACGGGGCGGACATCAGCTCCTACGTCATCACCCTGGACGACCAAACCATCACTGTGGAATCAGGGACAAGTCACCTTGTCACAGACCTGCAGCCAGACAGCGAATACAGGTACTGTCCATTAACATTAGATGTCAGAACAACTGAACCTGCTCATGTCTCTCCAAACTTTTCAAACTCCATGGCCAGAATCTCAAATTGGAAGCTTAGACTTTAAAAGACAACTGCAGGCAAAGAGGAGAATGTTTATGTTCATGGTGTGATCTGTTTTTATTATAAAGTCACCAGTTTTGTTTCATGAATATCAAATATGTTTGCATAACTGCATCAACAGGTTTTAAAATACTCTTGTTAAGTTTATTAAATGCACCAACAGACTACAATAATTATCTGATAATGAATTAATGATAAACTAATAATAGTATTTCTTCACTTCATGTTATGGGTAATACAATTATACTATATTAAATATAGAGAATGTTCATCCAAAATTTTAATTTTACAGGATATGAATTGGTCCATTGGTAGCAGTAGTAGTTTATAATAGCTGTAGTAGCCTGTATGATGTTTGCATCAGCAGTGATGATGGACCCTGTTGTACTCGAGCAGCAGTAAACAACTACTCAGTAATCTGAATCACCAGCTACTGTTGTTATGCCTCTGAAAGCAATTCTGTGATTACCCAAGTGTGTATGTGCAAGTGATTGTATTGCTAGTTCTTTGAATTGAGGGGGGAAAAGGAAGGGGTATCCAAGGTAGGGGGACATGTAAAGAGGCAGAGTGATCACACACACCATTGTTTTCATTCTGAGGTTGTTTTTGTCCCAATGTCACTCTGGTCTCTTGCATAATGGCTTCCACTGAGGCAAAACACGGTGCATGTGTGTGCTTGTGCGTGTGTGTGTGTGTGTGTGTTTGTGTGAGGGAGAGTGTCCGTCTGTGGGAGTTTTTGTGTGTGCCAATGACGGTAATTCTAGTTGTTATTTACAGCAATGGGGTACTTCAAATTATATTATTCATATTTTATTTGTGTCTATGGCTTTGTGGAGGACCACAGTAGATGTTGTTTGCTCTGTCTGTGTGTGCTTTAGTGCTAGTTTCAAATGTTTTCATTCTGAGGTTATTGCTAATAAATGATGTTTAGACTTCGGGGGGTTTTCCTCTCTGCTGTCCATGTTGGAGATAACTCTCAATAATAGCAGTATTAGTATTAGTTGTTTTTTTTTTTTTTACATTTTACAGATTAAAAACTAGTACAGACCTCCGCCAAGGTGTTTTATTTGTATGGTGATATTTAAAGTGGCTGCTATGTTATCTTGTATATTCAGTTACAGCACACCATTCACTTACATTAAGACGGGATGGCGCATGCGTGATGAATTCAGTTTATTTTGCCATGGAAACCGGTGTCCTAATCGGAATGTTAACAAAAGTGAAAAATAATTTGTGTATGCGCCCCGTAATTTTTCTTCCTTGGTCCATGTTACACCCTTCCTTTCACAAAAATTGGGCCAGTAGTTTATCTCTAATCCGACTGACAGACAAACAAATGGCACCAAAATCACAACCTCCTTAGCAGAGGTAAAAAAAAGTCTTCTACACCTAAACCTCCTATACTACCTAAATGTGGTAATTATTTATTCCTTTAAATTTATTTTCTAATTACACTTCAAGTATTCACTGAAAGCTTCATAACCTTCAGGTCTGCAAACATTATGCAAGACATCTTTTTGTTTAACATTTTTTTGGCAGCATCAGTGATTCTTTCCCCCACTTATTTACCTTATGAATCTCTGCTTAACACCATCACAGTCCATTAATAATGTGAAAAGGTAAGTCTGTAGAGACACATTAAGAGGATAACTGCAACCCTCACACATCACTGAATACAGATTCACTAAAGCAGCAGTGGACTGGTAAAGAAAATTACAAAATGTCACTTACTAACATCAAGTAAAGGAAACAATGTGTTGCATGTCAACATTAACTCCATTAGCTATTGTCGTTAAAATAGATGCATTTGCAGGAAGGTACAATTATGTAGGACATATGGTTACTTGATGCCTTATGATTGTACAACAGCTGAAGTTTAGAGAAAAAAAAGATCTTTTCTCTTAGTTTTCTTCATTATGTTGTGAAACAAAAACTGTTCTGAACTTTGATATGTAAACCCCCACATAACTAAACGTAATCCCTCATCATCAAAAGCTAAGCTTCCCTATCTTTCATTTTCTTCTTCCTTCTCTGTCATCATCATCTCTTATCTATATGCTTAATTACCCACTGGATGGATGAACATTGCCCTTTCTCCTCTGTCTTCACTCAGCTGCATGAATTATAATGAAAGGTTACAGTTGCAAAGAATCTGCAATTAAATGTCAGCTGGTAGGAGCTCTCTAGCTGAGGGCGTCTGATATGGTTGCTAATCAGCTGATCAGACATTGACAGAAAAACATTGTGGAATGGAGATGGATTCCTAGAAGAAAGGCAGCAGGGGAGTTTGAACAACAAAAATCCATTAATTCAAGTCCTTTTTAATTAGTAGTAGATCTGTTTGTCCTTCTGTGTGTGTGTTTGTGCACGTGTATCTTTGTTTTTTTTTTTTACAACATGGCCATATATTAGAAAATCAATCAAGTTAGACAAAAAAAATTAAAATATTAAAAGTGTTTATATAGAGGAAAAAATGGGCCAACACTTGAATGTATCAATGGGGACTCGATGTATCGTTTTTACCAGTATGTTGCTGTGTTTATACAGTGCCTGTGTGTTTCTACATTGAACTGGCTGTGAAAACAAATCTCATCCTGGAGAATACATTGAATTGCAATGGGAGAATGGTAGCGGGTGAAGGGATCACAGAAGCTAATCAAAGCTAATACACCAGATCAGCCTCTTTACAGAAAATTACTCCACCATTAGAGAAAAAGGTCTGAAAACCCACTGAGAGCACACAAGGTTAAAATATTGGCATATATGTTGTGGAAACACCAATTTTATTTTTCCCAAAACCTCAAGTAAAGTCCAATCAGTTAAAGTTTCTGTAACGAACAAATTGTAATTTGTCTCTCTTTCTGGCTCGCAGTGTACAGATCCAGGCAGTGAATGACATTGGCTCCAGTCCCCTGAGTCCACCCCTGCTGGCAAGGACACGCCCCCTCCCTCCAGCCCCACCCCCTCTCGAATGCTCAGCGGCTGGCCCTCAGAGCCTGAAGCTGAAGTGGGGCGAAAATGCCAGCAACACACACACTCGGGCCCTGCTTGCTGATGACATGGTCTACACACTACAGATGGAGGACAAGAACCACAGGTGGAGTACACACACCACTCTTATGTCATTGTTTACCTTTTGGTAGAGACTTAGAAGGGTCCAGCTGACTATATTTCAGACCACATCTACAGGGTAAAGAAAAGATAAAATGTCAAACACGCAAAACATACTTATTTCATGTACACATCACATAACAGCTCCTAATTAAAGCATACAATGCATTATTACATTTAAGAGAGACAACAAGAACCCCAGCTTTTGTTCACACTGTACACCTAATCATATATGCTTTGTTGTTTGATTTTAAGTAATTCACAGAAACTCCTATGTACTTTACAACTCTCTTGCTTAAACTAACAATGGACATGAAATGGCTGCATCGTGGACAATGAAGTTCCTTCTTCGTGCTGCTTGCCCAACAGTGTGTGATACATCTCACAACATGGAGGAAGCTCCATAAGAACAAACTTTGATGCGCATTATGGTTGAAATCAGTATCTTAATATTGATTGAATATTATTTTTTCTGATATCAATATATATTACAATATAGCAAATACATGCAAAAGCACATGGAAATACAACATAATGAAAGGAATGCACCAAACTGTGTTCTACTGTACGAGCTGTACAAGCCACTGTACATATTTGCCAAAACAAAAACTGAAATGACTCAGTTGACTTTTAATTGCAATTCTCTTTTGGAACAGAGGATTTGGCAGAATGCTAACTCAATATGTTCATATTCTCATGAGGCAATTCCAATTAATTCCTTATTTAATTAATGCCCAACCCCAGCTTACATTGTTTACTCTAACAGAAGTAGCAACCGTCAACCCTGATCTTTTTTAATTAGCGTAAAAGTGAAAGAGCCATTAACTGCATTATAACTGTTTTTACATGAATATTAATTATTATTATTATTATTAATTGTTCTAAATGTTTTTTTTCTTGGGTTTGTGGACTTTTTAGTCAAGATAGGCACTAATCAACACTATACACACATCTGCAGACACAAGACAATATTGGTATGATTGAAACTGATGTTCCCCTCAGAGGATGTGCTCTCTAAACCTCTCGGCCACCCTGTGCACCACATGTCCACACGGACTCCTTAACCCACAGCTTAGTCAATACACCAAGAAGGTCAATACTACACACAAACCACAGACACTCATACACTTTTTTTCTGTGTGTGTGTGCGGTAACCAGATGTACCAGTGAGTAGTCACGTTGAAAGCATCAGTAGCCAGCCGGGATACAGCCTCCAACAATCAACCCTCCATTTAACTGACTGGTCAGACGGGAGTGACAGACAGAGAAACAGGGAGTCAAAGAATTAGCAGACTGATTTGTGTTAATGTTAGCGCTTAGTACATCCACCAGAAATAGCAAAGAGAGATGAACAAAGACGTAGGAAGTAGACTAAACTGAAAAGCAGTAAAGAGCCCCTTTTGTCTGACAGCCCGTCTCCCTCTGTCCAGCCCTCTACCATTCAGGTTGGCCGGTTATCAGTGTTTGAATTAAGGCTTGGCTGGCATCAAGTTGGCACCTTGGCACCCCTGGAATGGTCCAGAGTGCAGCAGGCAACAGATGGGGCTCTATCTGGCAGGCTGTGATCTGTTAACCTCTCCGTCACACACACACACACACACACACACACACACACACACACACACACACACACACATGCATACAAACACACTCCCTGATAGCCAAATTAGAACAGCTTTCACAGTTTAGAGAGTTTTATTTACCCTTTTCCAATTGGCACAGTGATTAGCATGGTAGTATGCTACTGTGTGTGTGTTTGTGTTTATGACCATGCTTGGATACACTAGTGTATATATGCATATGTCTGAATCAGATGGTATTTTGAGAATCATCCCGACATTTGTTTCAACACGCATACGTGAGGAAGTGCTGCATAAGCATGTCATTTGCTGAGAATTTAAGAAAAAACATTTGCTTAATGGATTTCTCGTTTTTTCCTTTGATTGTATGCATTTTATAGCCTGTGTTATGTTTGATAGGCCCAATCCTACACATACACAGTTTAAAACACAAATCTGTTGGTCTTAGCAACACATTAATAATGCACTTATGTTTAATTTCTTTCTGCACTTTAAAATGTTTTTCTGTGTTTTGGATGAAAGGTTTGACACTGAAAGAAATTTGAGAGGCTTTTGTCAACTATTTTAGACGAGAGAGGGGGCCAGGGTTTGTTTGTGCCCCATCGTGGTAGCTTTTTGTTTGGTCTAGAAATAGCCTAATTGGTCACTAATATCATAGTCATTATTTCATGATCATTAGTTTCGAGTTTAAGTATTTTTGGAGTGCACACATGTCCCTTTTTGCTCTCTATTAGTACACTTTTAGGAGTGGTTGATCCAAGTGGGAGTGAATTAAGGCTGCGTTGTCCATTCAGCGGGGATGATGTTTTTCGACATTTCTGTACCCTCATCACAAAATAAAACATAGCACAATATTTGTTTTTCTCCCAGAGGTTTTGGATTTTTCTCCATTTTATCTACACCATAATATGCAAATGATTGACTTCAAATGAATGAAGTGGAGGTAAAATTAGTTTTCATGAAAAGAAAATTGAAATTTTGCAGTCCCTGTTACTTTGGGTTGGAATTTGTTCAGGATTTATATTAAGGGAATATTTGATTATATATTTGAGAATAAATCGCAACTGAATTTGTTTCAGTTCATAATCACTATTCCCAGATTTAAGGTTTCATAGCGTCCAAGGTTGAGAGTAATGGCTATTTAGGCCTGTTATAAAAGCTTAAGTTTATGGTTACGTAACATATCCGTTTTTTTCTTGTTTAAATATAGCTTTGAAAAGCTACCTGTTATTAAATGGCAGGGAAAGAGGGAAAGGGAAGAGGAGATTTTTTGCATTTAGCATTTAGCATTAGCACCCATTTCCAGAGTTATAAGTAATACAGATAAAAGTAATATCATATCCACCCAGCCCAACACAGGCATTATTTCACTTTCTCCTCTTCATATCTCCATCATTTCCTCAATGAGGGAAAAAACTATAATTGACTGAATTGCTCCATAATGTTGATGTGTAATTCCTGACTCTTTTTAAGCCTAATTGCCTTTGCTTAGAATTCATTACTTGCAGCTACTGGTGGTTGTGACAGAACATTTAGGTGTATTAGCGGTTGCATTAGCGGTGCATCACCATTTGTTGAAATGTGTGTGTGTGTGTGTGTGTGTGTGTGTGTGTGTGTGTGTGCTGTTATCACCAGATGATTGGATGGATTGAGCTTGTTTACAGGGCTCCTCCTCCTTCGCTCCTCTTCTTCCCCCTTTTGCTTTCTCATCACACACCATTAGAATGAATTAGCAGGAATTTTTATCATTGATGAAATTGCCATGGCAACCAGCTGCTTCATTTCTAATCATAATGTATCGAGGGAAATTGGAAGGACATTTTGAAAAAAGAGAAAATATCAAATGCTTTGTAAACAAACATATTGAATAGCCAGCTGCAATTTCTGCAAATATAATTTCAGGATTTTGCCAATAAATTCCATCAGTGTCATTTTTTAACCAAATGGCATTACTGGCTATTTATGTTTTTGACTTTGGCTGTCCCCTGTCTCTCGCTGTCTCTGGACGATCTAATTCATATTTATTCATCTGATTTCATTGTGCCCCCTTTCCAATACTTCTTCCCTCCCATCTTTTGCCCTCTTTGTTTTTCTCCCATCCACCCCGCCACATCTTTGCAGGTGTGTAAGATGATAAAGAAAAGCTGTTGTCTCAAGTTCACAATATTGAGTCCCCTTTGTTTACTTTCCTCCTTTCTCCTTCTCTGTCCTGCTTTCTCCCACAGCTTATTTTTTCCATTCTTATCTCCATGTTTGCAGACTTGTTGCTCATGCTCTGTCCTCTCTCGCTTAGAGCTTCTTATTTTTCACACTGTTTTCTTTTCTTTTGCCCTTTAAGCTTTTTCTCATTTCACTTTCTCCTCTGTCCGTATTACCCAGAATACCTTCTGGCTAGCGGTATTGGGAGTGTAAGGGCGCCATGGCAACACAGGCAGTGTAGTGCAAAGAAGGTTTGAAGCTCCTGACACAATGGATTTTTAAGATGAATGCAGGTGGAAGAAAAGGCACCAGGGGCAAAGCTTGGGTGCAGTTGCTGTCATTCATAACAATTATCTATTAATATGTCCATCGCTATGTCTGTCCACCCTTTCATCCGTCTTCCATCCCCTTTTTTGTCCTCCTTTTTTCAATTAAATTCTTCCATCTTTTCATCTATCCAGTGTTGCTGCTTTATTTCTCCATTCACATTGTCTGCTCACCGGTCACTCCCAATTGTTTATTCATTCTTCCATGTTCTTAATTTCTCTATCCTTCATCTTTTTGTACACTCATTTGTTTTACCACAGGAAGCAGTGCAGCCACTTTGAAAATAAGTTGTTTGTTCTTCTCTGTCTCTAATGCTAATCTTATCAAGAAGTATCCATGCATGATACATCCATATCATTCATTAACTGCTTAAAAACATGTTTACTATAATAACGGATAACAAAATTATAAAAATCTCCTTGTGTACATTTTATGATGATGACAACTACACTAATTTATTGTGGATATAATGCTATTTCTGTCAAATGGATAGCGTAATTAGTTAACTCTCTTGCTAAACTGTCTGACAATCATGATCATATGGAAAGTTTTCAAGTTTCCACTCGCTTTTGAAAAAGAAAAATGCTGTTTGATGAGATGTTTGACAAAGTTTTGCCAAAATAAATGTTAGCTTTTCTGCCTGTGATTGGTGATTTTAGGCTCCTTGAAACAGCATTGTGTTGAAAATTGACCGGCAGGTGCAATCAAAGCAGTGCTTGCTGATGTCTATATCGTACAGCTCAAAAGGCGAACTTGACAGACAAAATGAAATAAATAAACTTCTAAAAAATCCAATACTGCATTCCAATGAATTAACTGCAGAAAAAAAATAGAACAAATCTCAACAATAACACGTCCTTGCTTGACTGCTTCTAACCTCTCTGTCCTCCTCTGCTCCTTGTTGTGGTTAATTGATCGACTGTTTGGCTCTGGACCAAGGGTGCAGTTTCATCTCATTAACTTTGGCCTGGTAATATTGTGTGTGTGTGTGTGTGTGTGTGTGTGTGTGTGTGTGTGTGTGTGTGTGTGTGTGTGTGTGTGTGTGTGTGTGTCTGTGTGTGTGTCTGTGTGTGTGTGTGTGTGTGTGTGTGTGTGTTGTCTGCCCTGCTGAGTGTTAATTGCTTTGATGATGGAAGCTTATGACAATGGAAAAGTTGATGTATTAACTGCATATACATAAAAATTACAAATTCTCCAGCCATGTGGTTGTGGCCATGTGGGAGACTCAAACACACATCGCATTTACATTGAGTCCAGTGAACTAATTCTACCAGCGCTGGGTGTGTGTATTAACTGTAAGGCCTGGCTGTGAGTCGAGGGATTAACAACATCATATATCAGCCGGAAAAACACATCACTTCTCTGTAGTGCAGCTACATAAAGAGCTCATCTGGAGTTATAGCCTTCTGCTAAACCGTGACCTCTCTCATCTCTTCTTTCTCTCTCACTCTCTCTTCTCTTTCCTCTTGCAGCAGATCCTCAATCACTGTCTCCACTCTTATAATTACCAGTCACCTCTCTTTTCCTCCTGCTCTGTTTCTCCTCTCCCTCATATCGTCCTCTGACTTTCTTCCTCTATCACTGCCTCCTATCTTCTCACTTGCCCCCGTCACCTTTGTCTTTCTCTCTCCCATAACTTCCTTTCCCCGCTCAGACTTTTACCCTATGTGCTGAAAAGCTGATAGCGGAGATAAATAAGCCCTTCTCAGCTCAAATCCCCATTTCTCCCTGACTCACTCATTCGCTCACTTATCATCTCTCCTCTAGTCCATCAATCTGTCCATCTAGCCAGCCAGAAACGTTTTTTGGTGCTCGTTTTCATCAGATTTGTGACTATGGCCTGTCAGTATTCGTCCTGTGTGTTCATAAATCACCACTATCTTTCTTAAGGTGCACTCTCCTCTGTTCCCGCCAGCATCCCTGTTTCTTTTCAAGGTCTCAGCTACTTATTTCTTCGAGGAAATCCCACTTAAAGGCACCATATCATAAACCTATGAGTTACCAGCCAGTTAGAGGTAAATAAACCATTTAGGCCAATATTTGAAGTAACAGGAGTTTGTTTGGATAGAAACTGATTTATTTCTATATGGTTAGGCCAGTAACATCATGCACCATAAGAACTTTTAATAGGCACAGTTAACTGGTAATGCCTTCTGTGAGAAGTCATTGAAAGTCAAGGGAAACTGCATCAATCCAGTCCTGAACATGGTCTGCATCAGTCCCCAAAACTGGTTTAGTGGATAGTGCAATCCAAGTCCAATCCCATCGATGCCTCATCCCTCACTGCTCTTGTTAACCAAGGTTTTTAACTGAGCTTGTCTATCACCACATCTCTGCCTTCCCAGTAATCTATTCATAGCACTATCACTCCTTTCTCTCGCCTTCACCCCACTCTTCACCTTCTCCTTTATCTTTGACTCACTTTTTCTTCGTGGCCTCTCCGTCGCCCCTCATTCTCATTTACTGATTTCTCTCTAGATTTGTGATTCATTGTCTCTCCCCTCCTCTTCATTATGTTCTCTGTACAGGTTTGTGACGATTTACCGTGGTCCCAGCCACACATACAAGGTCCAGCGATTGACCGAGTCCAGCAGCTACAGCTTCAGAATACAGGCCATCAGTGATGCTGGGGAGGGTCCTTTCTCTGACACACACACCTTCTGCACCACCAAGTCTGTACCCCCTGCCCTCAAAGGTAAACTGCCCCAGGCAAAGTGTGTGTTTGTTTGCATTTTGTTGCAAGGTGAAAAGTGGGGGGATGATGTATAACATAAGAACAAGCTTGACCTCCAGTTATGTTATACCTAAGCTAAGTTTTATCTTTTGAAGAGCTGATTCAGCTGGCTCCAGCAGCTTAGGAGTTACACTGAATGGCCCAAAAGAGTTGATACACATACAGGCCAAAAAAGGCAATAGATTTGTTTCTGTTTGGCTGTTAGAGATGTCATGTTTACTGGTGCCTTGCTTGATTATTGCCTCCAGTATGTGGTCTTTGCTGTAAACTGAGAGGCAGTAGCTTATTATAGCTACAATAATCACAGTAAAGAGTATCCTCTCAGGATATATAACTGGAAAGTATTACGGGTATGACTGTGAGGCTGTGAATGTGCAGCACAGCATTGACATATCCATAAACCGCCTCAAGGGTCCAAAAGGCTTCTGTAAAACCATAAGCTGTGCATGTGTGTCCGAAAAGTTCCTCTGCAAATCAGTTTTCAATCAGAACGATAAAGAGAAGTACAGATAAATGAATAAGGTCCCTGGTTACAGTTGAGTAAAATGTATTATGTATTTTGCACAGCAATTAATGCAGTCAGAATTAAATCATCATTGTTGGGTTATTATTTCCGGTCTAAAATGGCGTCATCCCCAAAGGATATTGCTTTGCAAAACAATTATCAAGACTGAAGAAAATGATTCCACATGAGTGATCCATTCTCTTTGTTGTGGCTTACATCCAGTATGACATGCAGTACCTACACACTTAGTCTAAACAGCCATTAACATGACCACAACCATTACTGCTGATATGGAGCATTAGATTCTAGGAGGGAGATGGATGTTAGCATTTACTAATAAATAGGTGATTAGAAATAGCTTTCATCTGGCCTTCCACATGCATTATTGCAATAGTAAATGCTCCAAATATTGGTTTTATATTGTATTACTTTTATGTAAGTATGAAATCCTGTCGTGTGATTGAAATCATGTTTTGTTACCAATTATATCAACAGCTCCCAGAGTGCAACAGCTGGAGGGAAACATGTGTGAGATCACATGGGAGACTATCCCACCAATGAGAGGAGATCCGGTGAGCTACGTGCTCCAGGTGCTGGTGGGACGTGAGTCAGAATACAAACAGGTTGGTCTCACACAGACACACTCACACACACACACACACAAGGTCATATGAGGATAGTATTGAGAGCTCCGGTGTCTCTGTAATCCGAAGTCCCTCTTCAATTATTTGATTTACTCTTATTTTTGTGCAAGTGTGTACGACTACTGGGAGGATATTTTCTAATCTCCCTGAGGAACAGAAAAATTTAGTTTGAATTGATGGGGAAGGTATTACTGAGAACTCAACTGCCTACACACGTAGACATGAATTTGCACATAGAAGGATGACACTCACTCACACACAGACACAGACACTCTTACACTCACTATGTCTTCCTGGCACTGAGAAATACAGCATTCTGAAACTGAAGGTAATTTGCAGTTCCAGCAAAACTTATTGAATTGTATTGAAAGATTTTAATGAGACTCACAACATAGAAACAAGTAAAAAAAAGATTTTGGCAGCGCTTGGAAGTATGGGATTGGGGGGCTGGCAGTTGGAGCGATGAGCAGACGAGTAGACTGCAGACAAAAAGACATTTGTCTTCAAGCCTGTTTTACTCTCTGTTATTGAGTTACTGAATGGTTGGAAGGAAGAACTGCTGGTACTCACCAGCGAACACAACCGCAGCTGTGTGTGTATGTGTGCATGTGGGGGTGTCTGATGTGTATTTGCTCATTTGATTATGTGTACACACATCAGCTGTCAATACAAATCTGTGATGCTGCTTGTCTGATGTTTGTATGCTTCCCTCTCTGTGGCTTTGTCTTTTTATTGTGTGTGTTTCTTATTCTCGCAATGAGATAAACAGTGAGTGACTGCATACATACACTATTGTTTAATTTACCAACGTCATTCATGAGTACGAAAAGCAGGAAATTCTGAAGGATAAAACTAAAAATCAATACACCTTTTGTGTAAAACACACGCACACTTACGGTCCACCTGCTGCTTTAAAATGAAATGAAAACTTAGGAGTTAGCTGCTCTCACACAGACAAAACATTTCACTGTTCCTAATCAACTGCGACTCAACTCAGTTTTATGTATATAGCCCCATATTACAAATCACTGATTTGGCTCAAGAAGATTCACAATCTGTACAGCATACAGCACCCTCTTCTAATAAGAAAAACCCTTTAACGGGGAAAGATGGAAGAAGCCATAGGAAGAGCAACCGATCCCTCTTCCAGGACGGAGAGACATGCAGTAGATTGAACCAACAAAATAAAATGACGGTATGTACAATCAGGATGACAAAATTATAGATAGATTATAAACGAATATGAAGGATATGGATCCGGGAGTCAAGCAACTTCCAGGTGTCCCTAAACAAACCTCTCCATCCTGGAGACCTGGAAAATAGGTCTACACAAAGAGGAACACATCGAACACACAAAGGGAAAGAAAACAAGTATACATGTTCCTACCTGTCAGCTTTATCCCTAAACCACAACAATAATAGTTGCTCTTGTTCTTCTTCAGTTACAAAAAGAGCAAGACAATGACCTGTCAAAAGATTCAGATTACTTTATAACTATAAGTAGCAGCAGATAAATTTCAACTGAGCAGTTATGATGACAATAACTAACTGGTCTTCTCACTATGGTATGATCATGATGCCCTGCTTGTGTATTCTCATAATTTGACCGGTTCCCTTTTTAAATGGGCACCTGCTGAGAGCTTCTCGATACACACGCTATGAAAACAAGCACTCATATGCCGCTGTGACCGCAGTAAGCATGCAGGTTGTCAATTCCAACAAAACACCATGTCACTCACGAACACACCTTCAGTAAAATCAACTGGCATTGTGGTTCAGTCAATAAGTCTCTTACTTACATTTACATTTTACACTAATGAGAAAAAACAAACTGTATACGTTTTTACAAACTGGTTGTTAAACTTAGTTCTTTCCATCTTTCTCTCCACTCACAGGTTTTTAAGGGAGAGGAGGGCATGTTCCAAATCTCTGGACTCCAGGGCAACACGGACTATCGTTTCCGCGTGGGCGCCTGTCGCCGTTGCCAGGATACGTGCCAGGAACTGTGCGGACCAATGAGCCCCTCCTCCTTTTTCACGCTGCGTCGCCAGGAGATGGCATCATCGGGAGAGATGTGCGCTGTGGAAACGGGCAAAGGGGCAGGCCTGATCTCAAGCGACGAGCGCTTCGCTGCGCTCATCGTGTGCGTGTTCGCAGGCTTCTCCATCCTCATCGCCTGCTTGCTACAGTACTTCTTCATGAAGTGAGGGAATTTTAACTATAGGATAGAAAGAGAAAGCAAAATCACAGAGTCTATGAAAGAACTGAATGAAATCAAAACAAACACTTGAGATATACTTCTAAGGCTATGTATGTTTTTTTTTTTTTTTTTTGTCAAAGTATCAAGTCTGGCTGTGTTCACTTTGTTCCTGTTGTCTTCTGCCTTCACTCAGTTTGGTCTCATTTCTCTCTATGTGTCTGCTGTCTTTGTATCATTGTCTGTCTCATTTGTTAAGGATTTCTGTCGAGGGAAGCCTTGTCTTAGCTGTACCTCCGTTGGGAAAGAAAACTGATAATCAAGCCTTAAAATAGCTGTGAGCAAAGCAGTTGCTCCTCAGACTGACTTGCATGTTTTTATTTTGTATCTTTTTTAAACATATTCGATTAGAGAACGTGTATATTTCTTGACAGTCATGGCCTTTTTTTTTTTTCCTATGTGTAATTTCCATTTTTTTTTTTTTTTTTGCTGCAGTCTTTATTAATTTCAGCCATATTCCAATGTAGGCCTTTAAAGCTTTAGCCGTTCATACCTTATTATTCAATTTGTTACCGCTCTACAGGCTGTCGGTCAATTCATGCAATCTGCACCTGCTCTCACACACAAACTGATAAAGACACAGTGCACATTTACGTTCACATACATGCACACATGTACAATTACACTCATGCAATGACAGTGAGAAACACATTTCCTCCAATCACATATCTGCTCAGCTTTTAATATTCAATCATTCACTCATTCAGCTACCAAAGTGATGCAATTCATGTGTGGTGTAAGATGCTGCTATCCTGTGATTTTATTATATCTCAGAAAGAACGGAAAACCAGTAATCTAATATATATATATATATATATACACACAATATATATATATATATATATATATATATATATATATATATATATATATATATATAATAACAAATATATATGATGCTATAGAAGTGATGTAATATAAGTGATGGCAATGTAAGGTCTGAACTACAGTGTGAAAGGGGAGGAGTCGACTCTAGGTGCTCACAAACAGCAGCTCTGAGATCAGTTCGTGTGAACGGTTGAAGGAGCCCTTAAACACTGGTCTTGGACCAGAATATGAACCCTTGTTGGTATTCGAATGTTGGGCATAAACTGGCTTTAGCGTTTAGGAAACCAGACTGGGATTGTGATTGGCTGCAGCTTACCAGGAAAGGGCTGGGCTGAGCATTTGATTGGCCCTCAGTCAGTCCTTCTATATTCTACCATCTCACGTACCATTGCTCCAGCCTGTTTATGTGTAGCTTTAGTAGCGATATGCCCGTAGCGTCACAGACCCAGAGGTGCTAACAGCCTGCCAGCTAGCCGCCCTTCTCAGAGCTGTGTGTGTTAACCAGGAAAGCCATTAGGAGTTAGCTTGAGCTTTAACCCCACCCCCTGACATTTAGCAAGCCACCAGCCAGAGCAGTGCTGAAGCTGTAGTTTCTCCTTCCACCCAGTCTGTGAATCGATACGTTTGAAGACTCTTCTCCTCTTTTCTCCTCTCATCGCCATAATTTTCTGTAATTACCTTTTGCTCTGGCTGCTCCTCTCTCGCTTTCGATCCATCCCATCTTTCTGCCCATGCACTACTCTCTCTCCCTTCTTCTCTCTCTCTCTCTCTCTCTCTCTCTCTCTCTCTCTCTCTCTCTCTCTCTCTATTAAAAGGTGCTTTATTGACATGTAATCAGAGCAGACGAACATGTTCTCTGGGGACTTGAACTAATGTTCGCTAACCAAACAAGCCTTTGACAGAACACAACTCAACAGAACAGGGCATTCTGACACATAACATGTAACACCCCCTCCGCCCCCGACCTCACGCCTGACTCCTGGAACCCCCTTTATCCCAACCCGGAAAACAAAGCCAAGGTACAGCCCAATACATACCCTGATGATCCAAAGAAGTCACCCTGACCTGCATAATTAATGTGTGACACGTCTACTTTTGTCAGGTGGGGTGCAGGGGGAAGAAGGACTGGGTGGGAAAGGGGGTTAAACAAGAGGGGTGGGGCAATAGTTTAGCCCTGCTGCTCAGCTCTGATTGGCAGCCTGTAACGTACCTCAGGGATAAGGCCTTACAGAGGGGAGATCTAATGTCATCCCCATCGCTGTCATCACCGTCATTATAATAGCCTCTCTTCCTCTGTTTCTCTCTGTCTTCCTCCCCCTCTTTTATCATTTTCTTTCATTTTTTTGATGCTGTATCTTGTCCTCTGTCTATGCTGTGCCTTGCTCCTGTATGTCAGTAAGCAAAGTGGTTTACTAGCTCAAAATACCTTTGCCAAAGTTGATGGGAAAGTTAAGGTAGAGTTCTTTTCTAGGTTTTATTTATACTATATATTTGCATACAGTACTTTACATGCCAATTACAGTGCAATCTTCATTTATTTATTGTTTAAAGATTAAGAGACAAGTGTAGTTATATACTAATTTTTTCCCTTGTAGCATGTTTTTTTTTTTTTTTTTTTTTTTTTTTTTTTTTTAATGGATGTATGTTAGATTGTATGATTAAGGCCAGCATTCCTTATCTCAGTAACCCTTTAAGTATTTCTCTTACAGCTGTTGGGAACCTGTAGCTCATCAGTCCATGCATTGCAGTTATCATTGCCGTTTCAAACATGTAACCAAATGCCTATGTGTTTCTTTTTTTGTTTTCATCTCCTGAATCGGCCATGCACAGCCGAGCAGTTCTTGTTATGCTTAGAGAGACATGTAGCAAAGCCAGGCCTTAGGGTCAAGTCATCTGTATTGGGATAAACGTTGCTGCCTTTGGCTTTTTTTTTTTTCCTGATTAGTGTTATAATGAAGCTTCTGATATCTTTTTACTGTTTTATTGCCAAAGTGCAGGCTTCTCGTGTCCACTAGATGTTGCGTTTGCAGTCGTCTAAAAGGTTATGTGATGATGTTCTGTAACGACACAGCATTACGATTATTATTATTGTTATTATTATTCTCTCAAAAGGAAAAAAAAACATTAACTTGATCTGTGATTATGCTTCTTTTCATATTATCTTTTTATTATTTTGTTTTGTAAAGCAAAATGTGCCATTTTGAAATGTGTAGCCCCTTTTGGAGGAGAGTAACACAACCTGATCTCACACAGAAAGGTTAAAAAAAAAAGGCAAAAACAATCATACGATGATTTCAGGCAGATGATGACAATAATAATATTGACGATTCCTTGTTCAGGTTAGTGCTGGTATAGCAGTAGTGAGTATTTTGTATCCAGTATTTTGCTAAGAGATGATATACAGAGATATCTATAGAGCTATAGAATGAGATGGTAATACATTATGACTAACAGAGTTGAAGCACTTTTTTTATGCCGAGCATTAGTCTTGATGAGGTTAATATGAGTGAGAGGAGACACGAGGTCCTTCGCTCTTTTCCAAACACTACTGCCAACGTCGTCTGTTACATTCATTGGCATTATTCTGTCGTTGGCGTCACTGTGACATTGGCATTACTGGAGCATGGTGCTGTGCTTCTCAAATGGCACCTTGCTCCCTGCAGAATGCAAACTACAGCAACAAAAGAAGTACAGTTCATTGGGAGCACGGTGCCTCTCTCAGACGTGCTCATGGCGTCTACCTAGCCTGTTGCATTGTAGTCAACAGGTGATGTGTCGGGTGTGCTGTCCTTAAACCCCTGATGTTATATTGCCCACCCACAGCCCCCTGATTGCCCTTTTTTCAAGCCTTAATGCCCCCAGTAAGAGAGCAGAGGTTCACCTTGTGTTTGGCCGAGCTCAGGCCAGTCATGTTAGTGTTGTACAGTCCGAGGTTAACACAGTGTTAACTTAAAGGCTGTGCATTTGTGGGCAGGGTACTCCCTTTATGTGCTTTGTTGTTTTTGTTTTGTTATTTTCAAAATGCTGGTGATTTTATAGACACCCCGCCCTTCCCACCCACTCACCCATCCTGCAGGTCCTGCACATTTGGCGGGCATGTCAAGAATGAGAGACAATTTGTTTGCCCAGCAACCCCACGTCTGTGCCTTCTGATCAGTTTATTTTCTTCTTTTCATTTTTTTTTTTTTTTTGTTATGTTTTGTATGTTTTACAGTAAGTAGAGATTTTGACTGAGAATTTGGCGATTTGACAAACATACAGAGACTCACAGGTATTTAACTATTTTTTAGACAAAAAAGAAACATATTTTTACCTCACGATTTAAAAACAAACATTCCAATGTTGTCATGGTCTACGAATTGAGAAAAAGAAAAGAAATTCATGCATTTCTTCTTGTATTGTAAATGTTAGACAATTTCATATGCATTATATAAAAGAAACTGCCATATCAATTTTAATGTATAGATTTTTGCAAATACTACCCTATGTATGTAAGACGTAACTGTATCGGTAGCGTATATATAATATATTTATGCCCAATAAATGTTTTGATTTTTTTTCTGACTTTGATTCCATCTGTATGTTTTATTGTGTGTGTCATTATTCATAAACACTACATACACTGACACTACTCTACATAAAGTTTCCCGGAGTTTACTGTACTGTAAGCAGTATGGATTTTTACCTTTAAGATTTAATAAGAGAATGATGATTCTACTCTCATCAGGTACACCGTACTGTTATATGATATTATATGATGTTATATATTGATATAACGTGAGGGTTAAGATGATCATGAATTATGTTTCAAAACAGTTGTATTTCACTTACAACCAACATTCTAAATATCAACCTTTACAGTTTTTGTAATTATGGTCAGTTTTGTCTTTTGTCACACAGGGTCTCAAGGGTGTGTGTGTGTGTCACTCAGTTTACCCCTGGTTGTCAGTGTGAATGTGCGTCTGTGGGAAGGTGTGTCAGTGCTAGATTTACTCTCCAGTGGTCTCGATAGTATATCACACACGCCATTATTCCCTGCTGTCCCTGAGGGCAGCCAGAGGGAGACTGCCGCTCCGCACGCTCGATTCCCATCACCCTGCGGTCACCCAAGGACACCAGGGGAATATTAGTCTTTCAACCTTTTGTGTGATCATTTTGTGGTTCATGTACAAAGGGTTTATTTAGAGTGGTGTAAAGGAAAACAACACCCTTTCACTAGCTGACACTTATCTCCTTTAAATAAAAGTGATCTAACAAAGCTCTGTTTTTGAGAATTGCACCGTAAGCAGTGGCCACTCACTACTCATTCTTCCAGACAATTAATGCTTTCTTAGGGCTTTATCCATACTGCATTTAAGTGGATTTATTAATGTGTGAATTACTGGGCAAGAAACTAAATTTAAGTAACTGACTATGGTATGATCTGTGGTGTCAGATGCACTAGTTCCGGGATTTTTTGAAGCAGCCAGCTCCTTGTGCTTTTCACCAACGACATTATCTCAAGTTCACCAAGAAATAACAACAGTGTAAAAAAAGAAATCTAATCTGCTGCTGTCTTAGCAACAAAGTCCAAAGAAGAAGAAATGTATTCTACTGTTGTGGCTGTGTATACAGTCGGGACACAAGTCTTCAAGCTAATAACTGTATGATGTGAGGGAGACTGAAGAGTACAAAACCTGTCAAACTGTTCACCAGATGGGCTCCAGCCAAATAAAAGCAGACTGTTTTCCTGTCCTGTCTGCGAAGAACAAGAAGATGAGGCAATAGAACTGTCCAACTTGAATAACTGAACGGAAGAACACATACTTGATCTGGTTGTTTGTGATACAGCAAAAGCAGTGACTGTGGATGTGCTTCAAGTGTCAGCAGTCTAGGCTGCTGGTTTGCTGGTGAGGCAATCTACATTTTCCCCGTGGAGAATCATCAGAGCATACATAACTATTCCTTTATGATCATTGACTTTGCTGTGTTCTTTTTTAACCATGGCCCTAGAGATGCAATTGGTGAAGTCGGTCAGTTGGTCAGTAAGGGAATTCCTCTGCAACTATAGGTTGGATTGCCATGAAATTCAGTATAGACAATCAAGGTCCCCAGAGGGTGAAGCCTAATGACTTTGGTGATCCCCTGACTTTAAGTGCCATCAAGAGGTTCACATTTGTGCTTTTAAGTGAAATGGATTTCCATGAAATTTGGTAAAGATATACACGTGCCCTTCAGGATGAAACGTAACTTAGGTGATCCCTGAGATTTTCGGCGAGTGCCATTGTCATGCCAATGAAACTAATGTCACTCACATCCACCTTATTTGTACATTGTGTTTAGGGCAAATTAACAAACGTTAGCATGCTAAAATAATAACATAGTAAATGTTATATCTACTAAACATCATCACTGTGAGCATGTTAGCATTGATCTCAAAACACTGCTTTTCCTATAAAGTACAGCCTCACAGAGCCGCTAGCATGTCTGTTGACTCTTGTCTGGTTTAAACGGATGCTTCCTGTAGGATGTTGTGTCGCTGTCAGATGATGAGGATCAGGACTGTCTACACGCAGTCCCGACCCAGCAGAGCACATCTGGCATTCTGCACCACTGCAGAAACTCCAATAAGTGTTGATATCAAGTCTGTGTGGACCAAGACGTTGGCTAAATCCATGCACCAAGTACATTTCAGCTCCTGTTAGGGTACACAAGCATATGGAAGGTGTACATGCATGCCTGTTTTCACACCAGCTAGCTTTCAATACAAGTTTGCGACAACTAGTCTTAACTGGTGCCAGCTGGTATACCAAATAAAGAGATTACTGCATGTACAGGCATACACTAATAATAGCTGGAGATAGAACTGTTCTTCAATTCCTCCCTCTTCCTCTTGTCTAAAGGTAATTTATTCACTCTTGACTGCACAGCCCACATCTAAATAAACTATCATGATGTCTGACTCATTGAGTAAACCTCTCTTCTCTCACCTTTTGTTTTATTGTCTATTTTAATTTCACAATTTTTTTAATAGGGACCTCTCTTCCTCAACCCTATTTTACACCTCTTCTTCTGCTTACCTGTCATCCACCCACTAACCATTTCTTATATGAGATAACAGCCCAGCGTTCATTTAATTAAATCACTTCGGATTTTATAATCTTTCAATGTTCTCTGCCGAGCGAGTGCACACCCATACATACCTTTTTATTTTTGCCACAGATTTTTACAATTCCTCTGCTGAACATTTTGTACTGAAGAGGGTTTTGCAGACATTGTGCTTTGATCAGGTACCTTATGTTACCTCACAGGTGACTGAGGGGTGTTTTGAACCCTGTGTGGTATATAAGGGCAGAGCCTGCTGTCTTTGAAGCAGTCATACTGGACCATGTGGCCATAAAAATACAATGCCAGCTGAGATGACAGAGAACACACTGCTGTGATAAGATTGTGATCTCCTAAAAGGTGTTACACCCCACTGAAACATTACATAATGGAGTATTGCAAGGTCACATATGGAAAAGATTGCAGTTCCTACATATCTCAGTCCACTCTGAGCAGTGTAGACTTCATTGATGATGGTGGAAGGCAGCGTTAGTTTGTTAGTTTCACAAATGTCTTTGTTTGCAATTAGTATCTCATAGCTGTTGGTATCAAAAAGCATCCTAACAGTCAAGTGTGTGCCAGCTTGTATCAAAAAGAAAAAAAAATTGAGTTGTTTCTTTCTTTCTTTTTTCTTCTTTTTTTCTTTTTATTTTACAAGACTTTATTATCAACGGATACATTACCCAGTAGGAGTTATTCACAGACATCTTCAAAAAAAAAGAAAATATGAATCATTTTTTTTACACTTTAGATTTGTATACATTCTGTAGATTAATAAATATTATGCCATGACATCAGTATGTACAGTCAGAAATATTCATTAACAGAGATACATTCTTCAGAGCCAAGAGGAGGCCATGTTTTGAAGTCCAGTGCAGATTAGTGGAGGCTGCTGCGGTGATTTGGGCTGCTGAAACCATCTGAGTGTACAGCATTGAGTGTAAAGCATTACAAAGCATCTATATACAAGTTAAAGCAAGCATATAACATCGTCACTTATAGACAGTTCACTGATCCTCTTTGTCGGAAAGAGTGCATTGTACAGTTTACAAAATGAAATCACTTTTATTTTTCCATCTTTTGCATTATCGTAGACATATATAAAGGAAAGGTCATTTTATTTTATTTTTTTATTGAATAGTGTTGTAACGTTGTGTCGAGGTTGACACCTTTGGCACATTAGAATGTTTCTAGTTCAGTTCACACAACATCATGCACTGCAGAGTAACCTGTGAAAATAGTTTTGACTGGGAACCCATGCAGTTTTACCATGTCCTTCATTTGAAGTATAATCTTCTACAAAATCAAAACAGAAGACAAGACATACATAATATAACTAATATTGTGCGTGTTTGATTTAACCATTGAAAAAGTTACCCACTGCTTATTCACACTGAACACTTTAGGGGGTGGAGAACAATTTGTGCCAAAGATGAACATGAATCAAAAGGGGAGCTTATACTCCACATTTACTGCTCTTGTACTTTTATGAAGGAGTGAATAGTGAAAAGGGAGAAGTTACTTAGCCAGCTGTCTTCATTACTTCCCAAAGTTGAATATTACTTCAAGTATCATAATGAATCTTGTCAAATCAGACAAATGGCAGATCTGCTACATGTGTTGTATGATTGGATCCACAGATTAGCACATTCTGTATGAAATGGAAAATGCCCTGTGCTGTATGTTGTGTGACGGTAACAGACAATAATGCACCTGAGATGGCTGAAATTAACAATGTTTCAATGGTGCGCAGTTCACAAGACTCAGAAAGCTGAGGTGTTTATTGCCATTGATATGTCGATGTTTGAACTAACACCAATCAGCTTTCTTTGTCTAATGCGCCAAACTGATAAAATCACAGCAATTTACTGTCTAAAAGTGAACCTTAAACATTTAGTGAAACCTTCTCAAACTCTCCTTCTTTTCAATGATTTATTTTAAGCAGTAGGAGCCTGAAATTTGAATGTTGATCATTTAAGTATAATGACTTCATATCTTGTTTTATGTATTTTGTCTCACAGTCCCTAAAAATCCACTTGCTTTGTGGCTCCTGTGCACTGAACTCCAATCGTGATGTGGAAGCAGTACATGGCTACACAGTTATATTTTTTATCTCCATTTCAGGGACTGTACACCAACCACATTGGCAGCATCAGCACAGCATGGACTTGGATTTCCAAGATACAGGGCATTCAGCACATCAAATAAAATAATAACAGTAACATACGTTTACATCATCACACTCTCTCCAACAAATTACATCAATTTCATCCAAAACCATGACACACAAAACACACATGCAAATACTCACTCTCTCTCTCTCTCTCTCTCTCTCTCTCTCTCTCTCTCTCTCTCTCTCTCTCTCATCACACACACACACACACACACACACACACACACACACTGCACCTCTGCTCCTCTCTGAAGGAGTACAGAGAAAGTGCCACAAATTCTACAGTGCTTTCTTTGTCATCCAGAATATGAATACAATATAAGGCAATTGTAGATGTCTAAGATATTTATACGTGTCTGCTGTGTGTGTTGTTCACATTTGGATCAATACAAGCACTTCACACTGGTGTGTGTTTTGCACTCCACCAGACGCGCTTTTTAAATGCTGCTGGGTGTGTTGTATGAATAGTGGATTGCACTTGCTGACATAATCCAACAAGAAAATGAAACTGAGAAATCGAAGTTCTATTGATGCATGGAGAAAAAGCGAATAGAGGCTTGCAGCTTTTTGTGGCTCGCTCTTTTCTCATTCTCTGTTTCTTTCAGTCCCAGCCAAATAAAGGCAAGTGCCGGGCTCACGTGTACAGAACAGTTATTCACCGTCCTGACAGAAATAATGGCTTTTAGGTCAGCATTATCAACTTATGACTAATCGTTTTTCAAATTCTGTCCAGAAATGTTGATGGTTACACGTTTAGAAGCTGACTGTGGATTCCGTCCAGCCGTTTGAGCCATCTCCCTTCATGGTGCTGGCTGTGCGGCCTCGCTGTGGCTGGCTGTCAGTCAGGCCGAAGAGGCGCGCCGCTGCGCCCCGGTACTTCCAGGACATGGTGTTATAGAGTATTGGGTTGATGGCGGCGCTCAGGTAGAAGAGAACCACGGACACCAAGCTGCAGTACTCGGACAACACAGACAGCAGCGGGGACGGAGCGTCCAGGGAGCGGAACTGCAGGTAGCGACCCACATGGAACGGCAGCCAGCACAGGACAAAGGCCAGCACCACCACAACTGGATGGAGAGGAAGATGAGCAGGTGAGGTGAAGGATGGAGATGAGGAATAAAAGGGGAGGGCAGAGGGGAAAGAGGTAGAGAAGTAAGTGGATATAAAGTTGTAAACAAGCTATTCTACTAAATAGATACAAATGCGGACCAAGTTGTGAGTGTGCGTAATTTGCGCGCTCTCCAAACTTACCAAGCATCTTGATGGTCTGTCTGTTGCTTTTGTCCCGGTGGGCCACACGAGAGTTTATGTTTGTCTCTCTGTGTCTCTGCCACAGACGACGGCCTATGAGGCTGTAGAGCACTGTGAGACAGAACACCGGCATGAAGAAGAAAACAGAGCTCAACCACACCATGGCCCCCATCAGGCCTGACTCCACCGCGTAGTGGGTCATCTTACACTCCCGAGTGTCCCCGGCCTCCAGGTAGAAACCAGTCTCATTCATTCCCGAACTGAGATTTGTCGGCCACATGCTGTCACGCTCCACTCCCACCATGACAAACACTGGCCCGGCGCTCAATAGAGACACTGTCCAGAGGAAAAGAATGAGGGCACGCACCCGCCTTTTGGTAACGAGGGCCTTGGCACGCAGCGGGAAACAGATCGCCAGATAGCGCTCCACTGACAGCGCGGTGATGCTCAGGATGGTGGAGTAGGTGCATGACTCTGACACGAACTGAAAGAGCTTGCAGAGCGCGTCCCCAAACCTCCAGGGCCTGTACCTCCACATACGATAGAGGTCCAGTGGCATACAGAGGAAGATGAGTAGGTCGGACACGGCCATGCTACACAGATACAGGTTAGTGGTGGTGCGCATGTCCCGGTACTTACTGACCACCAAAATTGTCATGACATTCCCGGCCACCCCGACCAGAAACAGCAGCGTGCAGGCGATGGTGATGGCCGTGAGGAGAGGGATTGAATAGTAATTGAGGGGAGGCAGGCCAGGGTCAGCGTTCCTTGTGGCGTTATGGATCTCTTCCCAGCTACAGTTATGGGAGAGGCACTCCGAGAGGTTGGGCCAAGAGGGCATGCTGTCGCCGCGCGGTTATTCACGGGGCCGTGCCTGGCCCTGACTGCTAAAGGCACCCCGGGTCTGGGACTCCTCAAGCCTTTTGGCGCTGCCCTTTTCTCCCATCATCAATGTTTGAGTTGCGGAGGTAATGGCAAAGGTTGGCAGCCGTGCGTAAAATCAATATCCCTTGCGCGCCTTGCAAAATACCTTGTGTAACCACTGAAGCTGAAGCTGAAGTCACAATTCTGAACGGACAAAGAACGTCTGAGATCCTCCAGGGTACAGATAGTCCTCTCCAGAGTCTAACTCAAACATGAGCCTATTTTAGATCATTCCAAATTATCCAGTTTATCTGCAACACGCACTCTAAAGTGGTCCAACAGTGATTGTTGAGTACTTGTTCAAAAGAAGAGTAGGCTAGTTATAAAACAAGATTACATGCTGGATATTTGTAAGTTACACATCGACAGCTGAAATTCATGGAGAGGTGTATTCCAATCAAAGCAGCTGCAGCAGAGAAAAAGACAGCACAGACATATCTAAAAATGCTTAAAGAAAAATCTAACTTTGAGACAAGTTATCTCCTGCATCCTTTCTGTCTCAGAGACACCAGCAGCTGAGTGCTTTGGGGGGAAATGAAACATGAGAATCCTTCATGCGCCAAAGAGTCCCAACGAGTTCCCATCACCGGCAGCGACTCCCTGCTTTTGCACGTCAGATAAAAACAAAACAGGGGATAAGTTGCAGCGGGCAGCATGTGATGGTGAGTCAGAGGCAGGGTCGTAATGATGCGGCAGCAGCGGTAAACATCTGTCCTGTCAAGGGTACCGGAGCTCAGACTCAGCCAAACACAAACGGATAAACAACAACCACAGTGCAGACAAACACTATGTGACGGAACGAAGACAGTTTTATAAAAGTCACAAGCACCACGAAGGAACGACGCGTTGTCAACATAATCATGCAAATAGAAGTTCAAATGATTTAAGAAGAATAAAGTAGTTGAGGGATTGCAAATAAATTCACCCGGGATTTCCAAGTCTGCTCCTCTAGTTATGGTGCATATCCATTATGTGGATCCTTACTCCCAGTGCGCAAAACATCATATACAGATGAAGTGGTACTGCTGGGAGGGTGGTGTGGGGGTCTACGGTAAGTCCAGTGCTGCAACGCCACCTACAGCTGCTTTTAGAGCAGTGATGGCTCTAAATGCTCACCAGTTTGTGTACCTCCAGGTCTTTCAGAGAGCATGTAGGGATAAAGTAGAGTGAAATCCTTCCAAATGGGAGTACTTTTGTTCATGAGCTAGATTCAAAATAACCATCTTCTCCAGAAGTGCTTTGCAGCCAATCCTGCAAGCATGGTGAAGGTTAGTAAAAATATATATATATATTTTCCCACAGGGAAAATTTTGTCATCAGTTTAAAGATCCTTTCTGGCTTTTGCCCCCACGAAATTATCAGCATGAATCAAATTGCATTAGAGTCAATCTGAAGCCCAGATTTAATATAAGGCTTCAATTTGCCCTCTGCAGAATGAGAACAGGGGCCATGATGTGACACTTGTGGAGTGTACACAGTTCCTGTTTCAAAGAGTGTTTGCAAAGTACCAACATGTGTCAAATCCTAGCTGCTGTAGAGTTTTATTTAATGCAGGTCTAGACTCATAAAGTTGATTATATGCACATAGACTATAATTACTGCATACTGTATAATGAGGTTAGAGCAGGGTCACTTTAGTAATTAACTGCAACTAGAATTAAGAATATATCACTCCCTAATAACTGGAAAGATGATTGGATATTCTGCTAACGGCAGCAAACAGTAACTAAAGAACTGAGAAGTTGAGAAAAATGGTCCTTTAACATTATTCTTAATCTTTGAGTGAATACATTTAAATATGTGATTCGAAGCTTAACCATGTTATATAATCTCATTAGAGCCAGTGGCTACACGGGCAACAGTTACTGATACTCTGCTAAGCTAGTTACCAAATGTCTGTATTACTTTTTTCTTCATTTTGATTAGACTTTATTTATACCGTAGACCTTATTTGTGTGGTATAACAAACTCTATTACTGAGATGTTTCAGCATCAAAACTGATTTATCAATTACAGGAAACAGGAAGTGGGTCAATTAGTTTAAGCCAAGACTATCTCACCAAATAACCTTAATTAGCAGACTGCAGCCACTGTAGTTTGGTTCATAATGTCAAAAAGTCTGGTGTTAACTCATTTTCTTGATGAATATGCAGTTAACATTACTGTGTTTTAGCTTTATAGGGTGTTGGCCAGAAGGAACACGTTATCACTGGTTGAAATCCTGCTATCTCCACACTCCTCTTTGACAGAGTGATACTGTAAGATTGACAAATGAGGCACATTTTCTTATTGGATTAATGACAGCTTGCTGGAGTCCTCACAGGTGAAACAAATGTAATGTATGTCAGTAAGTGTGAATCTCACAACGATTGCGATATATTTCTCTTTGTACTGCGCTGATGTGATCCTCTTGCTTCAAATAGTGTTATCTCTCTGCCCTTTGCGCTGTGTTTACCAGTAGATGCCATTATGTTTATGACCACTGAATCATGATAGAGAGAGAGAAAGAGATAAATAGAGAAAGAGAGAGCAAGAGAGATCCTAATGGTCGATAGAACACAAGCAGGACACTTGTGTATTTCCCAGCCTCTTTGGGATCTTTTCATTACATCTGGTATGTATCTACCTGTGGTCATGATGTATATGTGTATTGTATGTGTGTGTTTGTGCCGGTTTGTGCGTGTATATTGGTGTTTTTTTGATTTTCCAGTAATTGTATCGTGTAATCTAAGTACCTTTCAGTGGGCCGATGCTCATAAACACTGCGGTAATGATGATAATAGCCAAACAACGCTGAATCAGTACTTTTTACAGACAGAATGCCAAAGCCATAGGATTATTTCTGGGACAACAGGAGGTAATAATAGCAGCATTGGGTATCTTAACTGAAATGTGTCTGTGTTTTAGTAGAGAAGTTTCTGTTTGGTCTTTTTATGGCTGTGAACTGGGTTATGTATTGGAAAAACACCCATAGTTTCCCACAGTTCATCTCTACGTTTGTTCTTTTTTATGATTTCACTGCTGTGTATCCTATACATGCACTACATTTACTGCTTTACTGTTTCAGCCCCTTCTCTCTAAGGTTCACATGGACATGGTTCTGGGGTGTGTCTGGTAAACATGGTTAAATATCATTTTGGCTGAACTATTCCTACAAGGTGTGGTAGCAGAGTACAGGGTAAAGTCCCTGTCACACACACACACACACACACACACACACACACACACACACACACACACACACACACACACACACACACATACACACACACTTGACAGCCATGTGTAGGAGTTTGTCTATGAAGGGTGCAGTTCATCCCTTCATCCACAAGATGGAGAAAGAGATCTCTTTTGATTTGTACTTGAACCTGTGGATGTGTGCATGTTTGTGTGTGGCTGCCAAACTAATTAATATTAATAGTTTGGTACCACAGGTGTGATATTAGGGTTCATTTCAGTATAAAGCTCTGCCAGCAGGAACACACACATAGCATGTGTACACACAGGTTTAGGTTTTTTAATCTTACAAGGACATTTTTTTAAAACTTTTGTGTGCTTAATTGTTTTGTTACTTTAAAAATACCCTATATACACATGCAGCCACAGGCAGTCAGACATACATGCAATGAGTTATAGACAGACACACATATTGACACAGACATATTCAAATATATAGAGCCAGAGAAACAAACATAGTAACACACACACAGAATATGAAAGTATGAAATGATGAGATAATAGACAGGACCAGCGTCTGCACAGAGGACTCCTCCTACTTCACTAAGGACTTTTCATCCAATGAGAGAAGCCTGTGGGAAGGACCTGCTTCTGTGATTGGTCTAGAGTTTCACAGACTCCCTCGCTTCCCGAGGAGTTGGAGAGAGTTCACTGTTAGTTTATCTGAGCTGCACTTACAGAGTTACTTAACGCAGGGAGCCCAGTGCTGGCTGTCTGCTGCACACTTGTTGGTGGGGAGTGTGTGTGTCTCACTGTTACCGTCCATTGAGTGAAGCCAAGCGGATTGAGCACTAACCAACATGTGGGCTGCACGTCCACAAAAAGAGCAGGTTGGTAATGTCTCCCTCTTCCTCTCTGTTTGTATCTGTGTCTGCTCTGTTCTATTTGCGGTCCATGGGCTGGGATAAGGGGGGGGGCTGTTGTCAGTGGGATCATGTAGAAGAATGTACCGTACAGTATGTCTGCCATTATGTTTACTGCTCCTGTAAGCAGAAAGGAAACAGAGCTGAGTGCAGATTAGATATGTATTTAACATGGAGATGTAGCTGTGTCTGCATGGAGTAGAGGTGAGTGTGTGTGTGTGTGTGTGTGGGGAGGTCCTTGGCAAGGTGAGATGAGTTGGTTCTTCAGTTTTTTTTTTTACTTCTTATTAATGAAATGCTGCAACAAGTGGTGTGTTGCCTGTTGTGTAAGGCTGCACAGGTGTGTGTATGTGCTTGCCCACTGCCTCCTTTCTCACACTCTGTTGTGAAAGTTACTTGCTGCAGCTGGAATGTCATGGGAAGACTGGAGATATTTTGTTTCTCTTTTCGCTGCTCGCTCATACCAACCCACCCTTCTTTCTTCTTCTGTTGTCTTTGAAAACTGATACACATGCTGCTGACCTCTGGCATTCAGTAGTCTTCCTTTTGCATGAGCAGTGGCACTGGCATACAGTGAACTTCATTACTGTTATTCCTGCCTGAGGCTTTTTAAGTGTGTGCATGTGTGTATCGACCCGGTCCATGTGGTGCTATCCTGCACAGTTTGTCATATATATCAATCATTAATCTAAACAGTGGGAAAAGTTGGAGAATTTTACCTCACAACCTCCTACTGTTCTTCGGTTAAAGACATAGAGTTATGTAAGAACTGCACTGTTGTTCTTTTTCTCAGGAAATATTGGAAGGATTTCAAATACGTTTTTGCATGGCAGGCAGATTACAACTGTAAATTTATTCCAGATGTGTACTACTTGCTCATATGCTCCTACCATATGGTGAACCCCTGTCAAAAACTTTAAAAAAAAACCCTGTTTCGAGTTTCCAACCGCAGTCTCAGAAATGATCATTTGTGGGTCATTCAAACATGTTAGGATTTCAGGACATTGTTTCTGCAGCTTTCATTGTCAATCTGCCTCACAAGACCGCTCATAGCTAATATTGGAAGGGTCTGTGCTTCACCAAAACCTGAACAAGAACAGGACTTTCTCAATGCTTGCTCAGGGACACAGACTATAAAACACAAAGGAGGTCCAAAAATAGAGGTTATTTATTTAAAGGGAAAAATGTCACCGTGCCATTCGGCGTTCAGACCATCATTAGCACCTTTGGTTTGCAAGTATCTTGAAACTGTCTCTCTATTTTTAAATCAGAGCTATTTCTGGCCTGCATACAAGTCTTATTCACATTCTATTCATGTCCTGTGTTATAGATGTTCATATATTGAGGTCCATGACAAGCAGTCGAAAACATTTTCTTGCAAACGTTAAAGGGTTTGTTCACCCACCATCATCATAAGTGGTATGTAGCTATAAGAACAATAGTTTTTTATTTAATTTGCAGAGGTTCTGCAATTTTAAAAAGTTAAAGTTGTTCCAATGAAACCTCTTCAGTCTGGTCTGGTGATTGACTGGTACATTGTTTCTGGAAAGACATGTACCCTTTGAATTTTTTAAACACTGTTGGCATCACAAATGAAATTCCATTCATCTCCATTGTACTGGGTTGGCAGTAGAAATCTCAGGGACAGTTATCCCAACACCTGAGCAAATAAAACCCAAACTACCTTCATGGCTCGATACCACTGGAAACAGACATTCGGTCGACCCAACCCTTTCAGTCAAGAGCACAAATACTTTCTGTTCTGCTACTGTAATCTTGGTGAGTTAGAGTCTCTTTAGTGGTCAGTACGTAAGTTATAGTTTGGTAATTTCCAGGCTCTAACTTGGCTGCCTTGGTTGGGCTGAGTCAGGCTTGCCTGAAAGAGAGAGAGAGAGCAGTTCCATCACTCCCTCAGTACAATGATGCCTTGTGTAACTGCCAGCAGAACGCCACTCTGGCGATGATGACGATTTCTCCGTCTCCTTTTCTGGCATCTACTGTATGTCTTGCTTTCTCTGCCTCTCTGACCATTACTATCCCCCTATCCATGGTGTGAAGGATTAGATAATAGGCAGCTTTAGTGTGGGCAGAGAACGAGAGGTGTCACAGACCTCTCTTGTTGCTTCTCTATCCGTTCCTCCCTCCATCTTCTCTCTCTCACTCTCTCTTTGTACCATCTGCGCCATGAGGAGCTTGGCACCACACAATCTGTAAATGCCAAGTTTATTTTATCTTTACTGTATGTATGTGTGTGAGTGTTTGCGCGTGTGCGCATCCGTGAGTGTGAGTGGTAGTCTGTTACGCAAAGATGATGTCTGCATGTATGTATGGTATCCTTAAAATGATTTAAATCATCCACGGTGTTTGCCACAGTGCTTTGTAAATGTCAAGCTTGTTATCCATCCAGGAATAGATGATGCATCTTACAAGTTATCTATTTTTCCTAACACTCGGTAATCAGTAACAGCACCTCTACTGATATTGACATAGATGTTCAGCCTGCCTCCAGTGTTCTCTTCAATAATTTGACACTTTTCCAACACGCATTACAAGCAAACCTAGTGTACAGGGACAAAAGTAGGAGTACCAGCTGCCATTTAAAAAAAGGTACTCATGCAGAGTTATTGTACATACATTCTGGATAACACTTTTATGGATAAACGAAGCAGCTATGACAAATCTGATCAGTGGACAGCGACAGATCACAGTTAAGCTGTGGGGATCACTGATAAGATGTCTGCTCAGAGGTGATGAAGAGCAGTTCTGACAGTATAACTTAAAAATAAGCGGTGATAATGGTGGTCACACCTATAAAAATGAAGAAGAAAAATTCAGTTTTAGCACACTGACACTGTTACAGCAATGTTCAGTGCATTCCACAGCACAACCTCTGTAACCTTTTCCCAGCCATTTTTAATTCCACTTGAGCCAATGACTTTCTATTTTCTCCAGAAAGACCATCCCCTTTTGTATTTGGGTCTGTGGGATATTGTCCAAATCATTTACACAGTATATACAGATAAATTCCAATATACATTTCTTACCAAATATGGCAAACATAGGCAAATTCACACATACAATAATCAAACTGATGTTCAAAAAATTAACTGCAACGATTAAACTCTTTGAAAGTGTCCAACAGAAGTTTTAATAACAAATTTATGCCAAATAATCTGGTAACATGATAAGATGTGATCAGAAAATAAATTTGCTGAAATTCACAGCCCTAGGTATATGTGACTGCATCATATTCTGGTCTGTTTGATTGATCCATATTTAAGTACTGTACTTATCTTGGCCATGGGAAAGAAGAAAAATAAACCACAAATTTACAATTTACAATACTAATGCAAGCTATGTTACCATTAGCTGTTTCTTAAAAGGCCAGATTTACTTCCAATTATACTATTATATCCCAAAAATGTTTCGATCGGAACCTCAACAGGGTGAGAAAATGGAGATGACATAAAAATAACGAGAGTGGAATGTGGGTGTGATGTCTGAATTCCCCTTAAATGAGAAAATATTATGTATCTGCTGTCCGCCTCTCTACCACCAGGATGCCCTAAAGCAGCAGAGGGAAATGATTTTCTGTAGCATACTGGAAATAAAAACATTCTCCACCCAGCTCTACAACACCACTGTTTCCCTGTTCAGGGCATTAAGGGTTTTGTTTAGGTATCATGCAGTGAGTGCAACTCAACTCCCAGCAGTGGCCACAACACATCACCATCATGCTGCCTGCTCTTGTGTAAGAGATCATTTATATACAGTATAGATCAGGAAAAGGCTTTTGTATCATTGTCTGAGTCACTCTTTATTTAAGCAATTTGAAAAAATGCATGTATCCCCTGCAGATTTGGGGGTAAAAGAAATATTTCAGTCAAATTAGTAATAAAAAAACAGCTTCAGAAAAACCAAGACTGCAGGATGTATGATCATTTTATGAGGGCCAATGGCAGTTCCTTGCCCTACGGATCACAAAGATTTGGCAGTGAATGAGATTTTTGGCTGCAAGACACACAACTTCCTGACTAAACTTAATTTGGGACAACAACAGCAAGTGAAAAGGGATGCACATTTGTTTTAGTCTGCCAGAAGATATGGGCAGGGTGACCTTGTTTTCCTTCCCATGTGTCCACTGCACTGCTACAGCAACAGGACTGCTACAAAAACATGAGCTAGAAATATGTCCTATCTTCTTTTATTTCAAAACCTAGGGGAGGGAATTGTTATAAATCCCAGGAGGGCAGATCAAACAGAAGAGTGACATGAAAGGGTATAAAAGGGTGTGTGAGATTAATGAATCAACTGTAAATTGAATACAGTATTGATTGTGGATTAACCCTCTGTAGACTACAGTAATTATTAAACTTTTGGTACCACACAACTCCCATTTATAAGTAATAAAGTAGTAACTACTGACTTTATTCATAAAAAAATAGGCTTAAGCTGTGAATAAAGGAAAGGAAATTAAAGGAACGGTTCCAAGATTATACCACTGTCTGTTTAATATGAAGCTACAGCCAGCAGCCAGTTAGCTTAGTTTAGAACAAAGACTGGTGACGGGGGAAGTTAGCCTGGCTGTGTCTCATTTGTTTAATCTGTACAAGAACCAAAGTGTAAAAATGACAGTTTTACCGATGCTCAGAGCAGGGACTGGTTGCCTGGAAACTGCCTGTGGCCAGGAAACAAGCTGGTACATACGCCCCTATAAATTGGCGAATTGTCACAATTACACTTTTTGCACAGATTACACAAACCTGTTATGGTATGGACCCTGGTAGGTTGAATTTACTGTCCCTTTACTGTTGGACATATCTTTCCAGTCCTTATGCTAAGGTATCAGTCGTCTCTGCTACAGGCTTTTTTCAGTCTTTGTGCTAAGCTGAGCTAATAGGTCAAACTATTTATTTGGTGAATCAAAGAGCTAAAGACAAAACAGGTGTCCTGTTGGGGGGAGAAGT